TCAGGCCTCAGATTCAGATCTCAGGCAGGCACGCCACGGCTGCTATGTGCTGTTCGTGCGACTTGGTTCAATACCGCACACAGCGGAGGCTGGCCCTATGCCAGTCCAAGTTTCAGATGATTAAGCTGAGGGTTCCCCTGAGGCCAGGGGCCCCTACTTCCCCTTGCAGGAAGGGGGCGACCTACTGGCTCTGTGGGACCGACCTGCCTACACGGCAGGGAGCAGGAACGCTGTTGTTCAGTTTTGCTGCTCAAGTCGTACAGCTGACGTAGCTCCACTACTCAGCGTTTGTGTGCAATAGCGGCCTATACCTGTCATGCTAGTCGGGCAACGCTCGCTGCTTTCCCAGAAAGGCAACGCCTGTCAGCAACACAGCTGACCAATGGCTGAAATCGGCTTTACAAACCCCCATTCTCGGCTCGAGAAGGGGGGTTTGTCCGAGGCCTAAAAATCAAGGTTTTGCAACCCCCCATTCTCGGCTCGAGAATGGGGGGTTGTCCGAGGCCCCCAAGCCATTGCCGGCAAGCCTGGCCTCTGGAGGGGAGTACGCCTCTTACGAATAAGGTTAGCCTTATTAGGCACAGTGTGCTTACCGCCAGGGTGTGCCACATCGTTCACCGATGCATTCTGCTTGCCCACAAAAGCGGAGCGGCCTCAGATAACAGCACTAGCAGCCGTTCCACATGCTCATCACCTTTGCGACCTTACGGCCCATCGCCTTTGATTGAGAGTGACCATGAGTGGGACGCCACGCAACAGGCACTCTGAGTGACGGTCCCGAGGGGGTACGGCTCATCAATCATCGGTCCGTGGACATGGGACGCCATAGTCCACACTGAGGGTGACGGAGGGTTTCTCACCCACGCCTGAGACGCATGAACCGGCTTTTGAGGTAGCTTGTAGGGTAGCTCTCTTCACGGTAGCCTGTTTCAGCGCTTTCAGGCCCAGGCCCTTAGCATTTCTGCTCTCAGACCTTTGTTCAGGTGCAAAGGCAGTCTCACACGCCCGCAATGAGCAGAGCCCGCTCGCTCAGCGTCCAATAAAAATTGTTGTTGTTGTTGTTGTTGTTGTTGTTGTTGTTGTTGTTGTTGTTGTTGTTGTTGTTGTGAACGTTCGTTCCCTTCTTCTGGATCATGGCGAGCGATGGTCAAAATGTTGAACAAACAGTCTAGACTTTTTTAGGCCGCATGTGCCTTGAGCTGCCAGGCCACTGCAAAGCCGTCAAGCAGGAATGGTGCCGTGACATGCTGTGCGGCCTTTAAAAGGATTTGGAAGCAAATCTCCCGGAACAGCGCGGACAGCCAACGACCTGATGTAAGCGGCTGGTCTTTTTCCAGCCCCAAGACGTCTTTTTCATATGTGTTTGATTCATTTGTTGCATCTCAGCGTTTTGTTTGGTTTATTTCAAGATGAGTGCATTCTGAAGAACGACTTGTTTCCGGTTCATGTTGCTTGCTGAACGATGCCAATGTTGATTGTCGGATGTTTCGGAATGTGTTTTGCAAGCAACTTTAAAACCTTCGGCTTCTTTGCGGCGTTGGTTGATCAAACTCGGTGTGTTCGCTGTTGAACGGGATCGTGCGTTATTGAGCATATTTCTTAGGGCAAGATCGTGACCAAGGTCAAATCTTCGCACGAATAAAGCTCCAAGTCAGCAAGCTTCCTTTTAGTTTTGTTCCAGTTTTTATGAATGCGTAAAGAAAAGTGCCCATCATACATCTGGCTAGCAATCGCTGCAGTGATCGGTTCAGAGGTAGTGGGTGTGTCTGCCTACAAGCAGATCGGAAGCTGTTCAAAGAGCATGCAGGCTTGTCGTTTTGGCAAAAGCGTTGAACTTTTAATAGGGAAATTTGTGGTCAGGCACCCCAGCTGGCACCAGAGATGCCAGCTCCGTTGCCGCCAAGGACCGGCGTGATACGGAGGGATTTGGTAGCTGTTGGGCTTCAGTCGCCGCTGGCAAACAAGCGAGATTTTGGATTGTAGCATAAGGTGTTGAGAATCCTCCGGAAAACAGTAACAGCAATAACCATTGAGTGCAACGTAAAGTATCTGCATGTGGTACCACATTGCCGAGACACCGTTCGCCATTTGTGAACGACGCGTCAGCAACGAACAATCCCGAACTTGCATCGAGTGGCCTATCTATCATGGTGGCACCAGCACCACGATGCGAACACGTGTGCTATGTATTCTTTTGCATGACACGCACACAGCAAGGCAGCAACACAGCCAGCAAAAGCAAGACCGCCTGTATCAGGCCCAGGAGTTTTGTGGTGCAATGAGAAAGCTTCTGTTCTCGCAAATGCCCCTCCACTTGTATGCGTGCTTGTATATGCCGCACATGGCACATTGAAAATTTTTGCGACGACATCCTGGCACAAAACTTTGGGGTGTGGTCAAATTACCACAGATTACTATGAGGCATTTGCCGTTCGGTGAGTAACCATGTGTGATGAATCTTCAGCCTGCTTGCCATGTTCTGCCGTTTCATTACTGTTAGAGCCGTCATGGTCTGGCCCTTGACAGGAAAAAGAAACGACGAAGCATCTCGACTGAAGTCAGTCCGGGCTGGACAAGTTGAGCTCGTAACATGGCATTTGTTTGATTTTCACGAATCGCTGGACTGTCGCGATCAACGTTGTGGACACCTGAGGACGTGGCTTTCTGGAGGTGTTTCTTCACAAGGTTGGCGTGCATGTGCTGTATTGACTGTATTGCTGTCCACAAACACCAGCCTGTGATCTCCATTTGAGGAGGTGTCATGCTTCTAACATGGATCACAGGTGCAAAAGCCAGAGGTCATCCTAATCGGCGTATGGTGGTTTATCATGTTGGTTTTGGCCGCTTGACCGTTTAGTAGTTCGTGGACTTCTCCGATTTGGCAATTTGGTGCAAACACGATGCTGTTCGTGGAGAATGTGCAGAATGCTGGCTGTGGCTTTCGTCGAGGTCATCTACATGGCAGAGATGGGCCCGGTCCTGTGGGAAGTCTGGAGGCCGCTTGCGTTTCTGCTCCTGGCCTGGAAGATGGTGGCCGTTGAAGCGAAAGCATGTCTTCTTCAGTTGTGCTTCCCAGGCTCAGCATTCCGGCTGCTGTGCTGCATTGCATTGCGACATGCACTTCCGCACTCGTGAAATTGGTGCATGTTTGAATTCGAGGTTGTTTTCTTTGGCATTCTGGCGTTTGCCACCCTCTGACACGCCTCGGCAGCGTAGATTCGGAGTTGGCTTCAGGCGAGCCAAGGGTTGCGCAACCAAACTTTGTCGCCATGGGTTGTTGTCAATGACAGTACCTTTGCAGTTTAGCGTACGCAGATTTTGCCAATGACAATTTAACAGTTTGCACCACTTGGCAAGGCGCCCAGAATCTGCGATTCGTGACTTTCTAAACGTGACAGAAGAGTACAACATGACTGAGCTCCTGCAGAGCCCTGAAGTTTCCAAAATCTTGCACTTTGAGAAAACGCCCTTCAGACCTCGGACACGTTGTAATCACCGAGCATCCAGAGACAAGCCAACAAGCCTAAAGACTCGCACATCACGCATCTCAGCATCGCATATACTTCTAAAACAGACTGAAGCCTCCACAAATTTGCTATGCCTAGAAGTGCTGCAATGCCAAGTGCCCCAAGCGCGCCCACAAACGGATAACGTTGCAGACCAAGCCAAATGGACAGAAAATACATGGAAAGACACATGAAACATGCTGAACACCAGCCTCGAAACACCGATCAAACATCCAAAGCAGTCCCACACGCAGCTTTTTTCTTGCGCATATGTTGTGCTCAGCCGGTTTACCCTGCGTACTGCCACTGCGGGGGGGTCGGCTCCGACGCTCCTCAGAAATTTATTGGCTTTGTATTCTTCTTGCCGAGTATTGGAACAGATCGCTGAAACGAAGACGGTCTTCACATCGGGTCACGTAGGCATGATCTCGTGTGTATATGTAAATATGTAGGAAGTGCCACTGTGAGAGCCACCAAACCTACGCTCACGGGAGTGACCTGGTTTGCTTTCGTTACGCGTGCATCTTGTGGCATTTCTCACTTGGGGACTTGGGGCATGTTTCGCTGTCCACGGATGACGCTTCACCCTTCTCCCACTAATCTGGCCTACTTCAGGTTGTCACATCCAATTGTCACTCTTGTTCAGAGTGATTTGGTTAAAGTCACAGTTTTTGTTTTTGGTGTGGATGGCTTCATGGAGAACTACTCGAGCAACAAGCACAACATCTCCCAGCACCCCGTGAATTTTATTGAGCTTTTCTCCTCATGATTGCAGCGACTTTCTCCACCTTATTCCAGTCTGCTTCGAGCTTTGGATTCCATGCGGCAAGCGGCGACTTGAAATGCTTGAGACTGTGTGTGGACTGGTATAGCCAGTGACTTTTGGCAGTAGGCCGAAGTGGAGCACGTACAGCTATACTTAATGTGATGGAAGGGGAGGTTTGTCGTCCTCGCAAGAATGTAAGACACGCTCGCGTAGTTCAACAAGCTGCGGGGATTTCTGTCATCGGCTTTCGCATTCAGAAAAATAGTCTATCAAAGATGAGGATGTCTGCACAGCTTTCGGAGGTGTGCAGACCTTTGCTTGAATGGCAACAGATTTCTGCACCCTCCCCAGAGCTCTTCGTCGTTTCACTTTCCGCACACCTTTCAAGGACGGCGAGTGGAACATCAATACGTACAAGAGCACACTTAAAGCAGCGTTCATAGCGTAGCTTGACGGGAACATCAAGATGTTATCTCTTGTGTTTCACCTTGGGGGAGGGGTTGGATCGACCTTACAGGTCTGCTCCGCAAAAAAAATGAGACTGGCTCGCTACTGCAAGAATAATGAGCGGACAGCGATTGAAGAATGGTGGACTCGGAAGGGGCTTTCTGTCTTCTGGTTGAGCGAGCTTCCGCAACCATCTGCCGAGCCTTGCTACAACTGGGCAGGCGTGCTAGCAGCTCCTAGCAGGTACCCGTTCAGGCTGCGCCCCAGCACTGCCTCGCGCAATGTCTTCTGAAGAAGACGGTGATCATGGTTTCATGGTGCGGGACCTTGCAGGTTTCTTTTCATACGCTCGCACGATGTTCGCCAAACACTTCCCTCTTGAATAAGGTCAGCCCCTCGGTGAAGCTCATGCTTCTGCAAGGTGCAGTGCGCATGCAGTGCCAGACCGTCATGTTGTCGTGGAAAGTAGTAGTCGTTGATCTTTCATTGCCGGCAACTCCATGTACCAGGACAAATGCAATCCTCTGTTGCACTGGCGCCTTCAACCATATCGGCATCTGCAACCGCTCCTCCTGTTCCTGCAAGTGCTGCGGAGCTGGCAGTTCCTGGCTTGAACACCGGGTTGCTGTCACTGGATTGTTCGAAGTGCGTGCCTATTTCTGGTTCTGAGGCTGTGTTGTCATCCTTGAAATCCGTTCCTCAGATGAAATATCTAACGAAAGTTTGGCCACAAGACTTGTGCGAGCTGTTGCAACCATGCGTGGGCTACTTCCAGGATGGCAGTGAAGGAGGTCAAGGTCCAGTCCTGCTGAGACGTGCTGCTGCAAGCCGCCAGCTGGGAGAGGGTACCTGGCCGAGATGATTTCGGTAGGTCAGTACTTAGTAGTTGTTAGTATATCCAGCCGTCTCATTTTGCATGCGACTCTGAAATACAAGGTGTGGAAGAGGAACTGCGCCTTGCAGAGGATGCTCTTGACTTGTCACTTGGCCCGCTGTTCTGCCGCTGACCCTTCCACTTCAGCTGATTCAGAAGTGCAACGAATGATGTCATGTGGTCCCAGCATCATGTTCCCGATCTGTCCAGTGCTTTCCAAGATGCTGAGGGCAGCCGGCACACATCTTTCAGCTCTGTTTCCTGCAGGATATTGAGACTCGTAGAACCTATTGTCAAGGGTCGACATGTAAGCATGAATCAACAAATATAACTGATTTTGTGGGTTCTGTGCACAGTGCTAATATGCAGCAGTCGGCAGAGCATTGTAACCCAGTGCCAGCGCATGGTTGAATCCAGCAGCAGAAGCCGGCTGATGATACTTCACCGTCTTTGGATTGTGGTGTTGGCAGAAGTGGCTACACCGCTAAAGCTTGCAGTGCTTGAGCACGAAGTACGTCAGAGGCCTCCTGCTTCTGCAAATGACAACGGCTGTGTGTTGTGGATTTCTCGCGGTATCCTAAACCCATTTCAGCCTAACTCCAGGAGGTGCCATCCATTTGTTTCGGGGCCTCAGGACCAGGACTTGAGCAGATAGTTTCCAAGGAACTGTTGCTCTTCAGACTTACTTTGCTACATCGTCAGAAGTGTGCAAAGAATAGCAAAGCCTAGCTTGCAACGATCTTTGCCATGGATCCTGCATGAATGCTCTAAGGATGTTGCTGTTGCTGCTCACGTGTTTGTACCTGTTTCTGCGTGCGCTCTGACAGGCAAGATGGAGCCTCTACCATGGCTGCAAATTTGGAGATCTTCGAGAAGAAGGCCGAGGAGTCCAGTCGCAAAGGAGTGCAGCTGCTTGTAACACCCGAATACGGTCTCACGGGATTTCCTGGCTCGGTGCGAAGCCAATGGTGGGACTATGCTATTGACATTCCAGATTTGCCACCAGATGTGCGTCCTGTCCCATGCATGGAAGCCATGAAGTTTCCAGCGATTGTCAAGAAGCTGAGTTGCATAGCCCGAGAATACCGACTTGTTTTCGTCGTTGGCTTGATTGACCTGAAGCGATGCTCTCCTGAGCCCTATCCTGGCTGTGAGCACAGCAGGGATGGATCACTCTTGTTCAACACTGCTCTGGCTTTCGACGCGGATGGCGCGTACATAGCTAAGTACCACAAAGCAAACTTGTGGGGTGAGCATGCCGCCGACGCAGGCAGCAGCTGTGTTCTGCCAGAGTTCTTTTCAAAGGAGCTCAATATGTCATTCGGAGTCTTTGTGTGCGCAGACTTGATCAATGCTTGGCCTGCATTAGAACTTGTAGACAAGGGTATTCAGCACTTTGTCATGCCACTGAGCTGGTCGAACGAGATGTTCCAGATGCAGCCCTTACCGTGGATCCAAGCTTGGAGTAAGCTCATGAACGTCACCATTGCAGCTGCGAACTCGCGTAGTCCGACTTCCAGCGGCAGTGGTATCTTTTCTTCGGGAGTTCCGTTGGCAGTGGTGTATGATCTGTCGACCAGGCAAGCAGATGAGTTGGCAGTGGCAAACGCACCAGGCTCACTCCCCGGTCCCGGCATGAAAGCTGTTTGTCCCACAGATCTTTCTCGCACAGCGGCGCTCAAGCCTCATGGGTCGCAGTGGTTGACATATCAGCTTGACATGTCCTTGGGGAGCCACCATGCCAGCGTGTGCAGCAACTACCAGCCTGGCTTTGCAGATGGACCGACATGCTGCAATGTGACGTACACGTCTAAAGCGGCTGGAAAGGGCTATGTGCTCGTGCTGCTGAATGGTTTGGACTTTGCGCCTGGGATTGAACCGTGGGCAGGGGAAGCATGTGCGGTGCTGCCATGTTCGGAAGGAGCAGATGACTGCTTATCTTATCCTGCCGAAGCTCTTTCGCGTCATAAACCGAGCTGGTTCGGCGAGTTCTCTGCGGTGGAGTTGCAAGTTACATTCTCTGTGCCGCAGCTGGTGTTTCCACAAGTGCTCTCTGGCGACGGTTTGCTTTCTCCCTCGGAGTGGCACCTGCAGACTGCGGCTGCATCCTACAGGCATAGGCTTAGATTGTCCAGCACGGCTGCAGCGGAACTTGTGTCTCTGCAGTTGTATGGCCGAGCATTCATGAAGGATCCCGGTGCGAGTCAGAAGTGCCCCTGTACACTTCGAAGCTTGGACTTGTGAAGCCGGCAGAGGAAAACGCCACAGGTGCACCGAGGATCACCAAACCGAGATGAGCAATTCGCCTGTCCTCTAGGTCCTCGAAGTACTTTCGGTCTAGGTTTTTCAGCAAGCTGAGGTTCAGAGGTGAGGGTGGCTGCTTGATGCCATCGCCGGCACGTGCCACTTCATCGACAGCCTTACCCTCTGCGTCACACAATTGGGAGGCCAGCCTTTAGAAACCTGGATCACGACGGCAGACCGAGTTCTGAAGCGACATGTGCACGACTGCACGACTGCAGGCATCAGCTCTATGTGCTATTGCTGAAGCATATTTGGGCATAGAAGATCACCAGAAGGCTCTTGGTCTTCCGTCGAGATTGCGCCCCGCATTTTTCATGCACTTTGCTTTTCGCCGAGGCTTTAGAGGCTGCCGAAGAGGCATTGTCCCTGTGCCGCTCTCGTTCTTCACGCAGTGGGGAGGCCGAGGTGGGGAGACACTCCACGTTGGTCCTAGCAGGATCTTTCAAGCATTGATGGGAAAGAGAGGCACTGGTCACACAATTCAAAGCGCAGCTCCTGACGATCCCTGCAGCAGACGTGCGGAGGATTGCGCTAGGGGCTGAGGGTCTGAGCAAAGAAACCTTCGCAAGATTCGCAAGTGCAGCGGTTTTGCATCAGATCTAAGGCGCGAGTTGCTAGCACTGTGGAGGGAGCTTGGGGCTACTTGGGGCGAAGTTGCGGACATGTTGGAATCTGCGCAGAGGCTCCGTTTGCTCTGCAGCTGTCATGCAATCATCGTTTGCCGTCTCGAAGCCACCGTAGGTGTTGCGACAGTGGCATGAAGCTGGATGATGCTTTAACACAGGCTGCGGACAAGCGAGAGTGCCAATCTCGGCTTGCTTCGTGAACTTCAAGACTTTTCCCGCAGTTCTCGTGGTCCCCACGGCTCCTGCCGTGCGTGCGTCCGTGTTGTGGAGGTCAGACCATCGGTGGGATTTGGCCCAGGCCGGAACTCTGATTGGCAGCACGAGAGGCGGCTAGAGCGGCAGAAGTTGCTGGATGTGTCAGACTGGACGTGCAGGATCTCTGCACTGCTCTCGTCGCTCATCCGGCACTTCAAGCGAAAGCGAAGCTAGCAAGACTGCTTGAGGCATCCGCATGTGTTTTGTGATGATGTCGTTTGCATGTAGTTTATCTCAGCCACCCATCAACGCACAACCACACAGAGCAAGTTCACGTGCGAAGGACTTGCTCACGGCAAGCCGAAATTGCGGTGCGTTGACAACGCATGATACGCAGGCCAAACCCATGTGAAGCATGGCACTCGGAAGTTCGCAAGTCGCGAGGTATCTGCGGCAGAGGCGCTGCTCGAGGCGAGAGAGCGGCCGAAGACTAAGAGTTCTCTCATGTGCTTCTGCCTGAGCACTGGCGGCAGGCCGGGCGTCTCGAGGAGGCGCGGCGGAGAGCAGCGCGGCTCGGCGAGGCGAAGGGGCCGAAGAAGTGGTTTAGGGTTTCCGGACGTGGCCCGTGGCATGACGTGAAATTCGCATCTGTTGGCGCTTGTCACATTGCGGCTCAAGCAGAAGAGCTCAAGCTGTGCCCTGCGGTTGTGCCAGTCTCTTCTGGCAGCGGGGAGGATAGGAGACAGCGATTCGTGGAAATCCGGTAGATTGAAGGATGTGTGGCATGCGCCGTCATTCGCCAAAGTATGGGGTTCGTTGAGAGGCTGAGAGATCATGAACGAATCGGATGCGCAATTTGATGCTTCGGAAACTGAGCTCCATGCTCGAGCTTTGGACTGTCATCATGGAGGGAATTCGTCGGGCAGTGCCTAGCTGCTTGTCTTCAAACTCATGTTGCAGGAGCCTTGCCGTCGTCTGCGAGACCCTGATGGTGAGTGTCAGCGGTATACTCCGTATATAGCAATGAGGCCAGGCCAGCCCTTATCAACAGCGCTCCGCGTACGCTGCACACAGCAACTTCTTCTGCCAGGTGGCTTTGGCATGCTGCCCTCTCTCTGAGCCTGCTGCCGGCTTGGTCGACAGCGACGCGACCAAGCCGGGCAGAATTGGTCAGGCACTGTAACGGAGAGGGATAAGCAAGTCGGATCCTGTCAGAGTCAGACTTTGCTTCCATCTTCAGCCCAGATGAGTGCACCAACTCGTGCAGTGCTACATGCCTTCTTCCCACTCAGGCAGAAGGTCCAATCTGTTGGGATCCAAACTGCGCTGCAGGCGGGATTCCAAACGCAATTTAGATCAATTGGGTCTCCGTGAATTTCCATGAGCACCCCTGTTTGCCCGAACCACCCGTCCAGGAAGCTGCACAGATGCCGGGCCCGAGGCCCATCGGGTTTGGACTCGCGGTTAACGCATGGAGGCCATTCTTCAAACTGGATATGGAAGGCTGTAGACATCTGTAGACCAGCACGCTTGACTGCGCCCGACTACCAGCACTACTTCAAGCATTCAAGAATTCACTGGTTGAAAAATTAATCCATGATCTTGCCAGACAATTGCATCAATATTGTCAAGTCCTGCGAGTCAAGCGAACATCATGCCAAAGTCTCAAGCCTTCTTGGCAGTGCTTGTGTGGCTCCGCTAGAGACAACCGACCGGTGATGTGACCAAGCTGCCTGCGTTGGAAGCCTTGGACGCTTGTGAGATACTGGTAGGATGCAGAGATTGGGCAGAAAGCTTGCCTTGGCTTGGACGAGTTGTCCTTGTTTCTCTTGGCCGAAGGGTGCACAAGCGGCTCGACCCAGACAAGGACTCGGTTGCTCAATGTGCTCAAGTCAACACGAGAACCGCTCGATGCGGTCTAGAACCAGACCTGATGATGCGGTCAGGAGTTGAGGAGAGAGAACGAAGCCGTCGGCAAGGCCAAGGCACGCCATCGTCATGCCGGGAGCAACTGATTCAGCAAAGTTTTTACAGTGACGTTGAAAATCCTGCAGCTCGGGCTGTAACTTTGCATGACTTGATGCAAACCGAGATTAAGAATTTCGTTCTGCCGAGCTTTTCGGCTCGGGTTGAGATCTCTGCCTATGCTCGGCATAGGGAATCTCTCCCTCTCCCTCTGCCTCTCCCCTCTGTCCCTTCATTTCTCTCCAGGCGTGTTCGGAGAGCTGGGCATACGGTTTTCGTCTATGGTTCAGGCACAAGAGGTTTAAGGGTTTGGCGTGGTTTGCTGTTCAATAGCATGGCAGGGATTTGGACAGGCTTGGGGGTACGAAACCGATCCTAAAACCCACGCCCCAATCCTATGTAAGTAGATGTAGAATTTCGGCTTTGTTTACGTAGTATAACACAATGTCCAGAAACTGGTGCTGCCATATCTTTACACATGAAAAGCTGCATTGACGGAGGCAGGGCAGCCTTCGGGGCTTGAGCCTTTGCCAATTGCCAGCCGCAGGCCGAGACAGGTGCTTAGCGGCTTAGCCTTTCTTCAACCCCTTCTCTTTCCCTATCTATCTCCGTCATTCATCCGCTTCTCTCTGTCTCCCCTGCTCGGGGCTCCTTCTCTACTTCTCCTCCATTCTGCATTCTGAATGTCTCTTATTTCATGTCCTCACATCTTTGATGGCTGCCAGCGTTGCAACTCACACTTTCTGAACGAAATTTCTGAGCTGTTGGATTTGTACGATGTTGCGCAGGGCCAGCCGTGGTAATCGGACCAACAACGGGTAGTCGCATAGAGCAGGTCAGCTTAGTCGACGGGGACACGTGAGCTAGCAAGTCCAAGGTCTGCGACAGAAGCAACATCCCGATCAGGGTCAAGGTGTGGCGTGTAGTGCAAAAGATTGAAGCCACTGGCCATCATGTCAAGACTGATTCACAGTACTGCTCAGACAGGAAAAGTCGGTGGGTATCACCAACTCGATCTTTCGGGCATTGTGTCAGAACCCAGGAGCTTTCAAGTTGTGTGCACCATTGTTTGTAGTATCTTGGCATGAAGGGGGACATGCCCCACCTTGCAACGAGGACAACAGATTCTCACCAGACCGCGACGAGTGAGTTGATGATGGCTGAGTACTGGTCCCCCGGCCGACGCAGCGAATCGATCAAAGCTTTGCTTAGCAGCAATACACAAAGTGGGGTCTGGAGATGTCTGGAGCTGCCTCAGGCAGTGGCGGGCTACAACGAGACGGATTCATCTCAAGGCGGTGCAGAACGCAGTGCTTGCTCATGCCCAAACGCTTTTTTAGGCTTACAGAAATCGTCGATGGACCGACTCTTGGGCAGGATGTGATCTTTGCCTGGCTTGTCTGCAGTGTGGCGGGACTGGAACTTTGATTAGAAGCAGCTCTTGAAATGCGGGGCTTCAGGCTCGAATGCTTCTGCGCTGAATCAGTAAGTCTCAGAGGAAGCTTTAGGTAAAGTTTTCAACAAGCGTGCACTGGAATTGACATGCGGTGGTTTCTCATAATTTCCATGCAGGCTTGCAGTTTGAATACGCGAGAACTGGCGGAAGACAAGGTCGGCGCACTCGTCATCATCGGTACGTTTTGCTGCTGCCAGTTGATGCTTCTTTCTGCGCAGTCGCGCAAGTAGATAATTAGACTTAGAGAGCTGGAAGCCACCAGAGCTTTTCGGGCTTGCCTTCGACTGCCTCGCCTGCGGCATACAGAGGGTTGCAAGATGCGTCTGTCGAGTTGACTGTTCTGTCGCACTTTACACGGTAGGAACACCAAGCAGTTAGGATACATGTCGCTTCGTGACTTTACAGGATTCATCGGTGACTTCTCGGAGAGACGAGGTGAAAGTCACAGTGGCTGCTAGTTTCACTGGAATTTCGGGCAGGCTTGTTCACAGCCTTTGCAGGTCAGGGCGTTGTTGGTAATCGGCCGTTCGTGACTTAGCTTGGCACTGCCTGCTGCCATCTTTTCTGTTTCATCTTCGCGAAGGTGCTGCCTTGGCTCTTTCAAGAAGAAAGGCTGGTGAGGCGGAGCGCTCAGGCACCCGATGCACACGACAAGCCCAGCAGCCAACAGGCATTCCGCGCCGGTGCAAAGGCCCTTCGTTGCTTCTGAACCAACTTCTGCCATGATGCTACTGCTATTGCATAACCGCCGGGAAGATGTGGAGCGTCAGGCAGTCGCACGAAGCCGTGAAGTTGGACATCGAAAAGGCGCGAGTCTCAATGCAGGCTGCGTGATGTTGTAAGTCTGGGTCCGTCACCGTCAGAGTCCCCTTCGTCAAAAGCAGTGTAACTCATTTCGGTGAGTGTCAGGTGCATGGAATGCACGATTTTGTGGCGTGCAAGTGTAGGCGAAGCAGATGCCCTGCACTTCTTGGCGAAAGCGTGCTTGGAGACCGAAGGCACGTTCTTTGGGTTTGCTTGCGGTGTCTGTTCAGAGCTCTTAAGAGCTCTTAGCTCATCCTGCATAGCGACAGTGAGGCTTGGTAGAGGAAACGTTTTGCCAACACTTGATTCAACAACGGTGATCGTCGTCGTGCTTGGCTGCATCGCAGCGTTTCACATGCAAAATCATCCGGCTTTGTTGAATACAGACAGAAGGCTCGCAATATTCAGGTTGACTTCCATGCTGCCATCAGCAACTGGAAATCCGGCCTGCGAGAGGGTGGCCGTTACTGAAACCATGCTATGCAGCGTGGGCTTGCTCGGGTCCCTGTAAGTTTACTTGGATACATATGTGCGCTTGAAATAGAAACAAGCATCGTGCAAGATTCACACTTACAGTGTGACAACAACAAGCTGCAAAAATCCGGCCTGCAGTGCGACTCTGTAGATTTACCACAAGTCAAGTTGCAATCCTACATGCCTCTTCTCGATCTTGACCGTCTTGTGTGGGCTCTGACTGAACATGATGACCGAGGCCACCTTAAATACCAACTTTGGGGCTGATGGGCTGAGCAAATGTGCCAAGATGGTGCGAAGGAGCAGTTGCCACTTTACGGCATTCCAAGGTCTGCAGGCATCCGCAGCATTGCAATGGACCGGCCCGGCAGGAAACTTTGGACTTCCTGGCAGGAAGCTTTGTGGTTCTCATGCTGGGCTCCGTGTGGAGCGATTCCCGTCAGGACCTTCAACCGCGCGCTCAGTAACGTTGGATTGGAAAGCTGGCGCAAAACAGTGCTACTTCTGTCGAAGGCACAGAGTGCAATCGTCGTGGATACGGTTTCCTTCAATGCCTCAGTCCGCGCATGCACCGACCTCTCCGCTTGGCAGTTTCCGAGCATGTTGCTGAGGTTCATGCAATCCAGGAGCCTGGCACCAGATGCTTTCACTTATAATCTGATACTGCGAACCTTTGCAGACGGTCGAAGCAAGTCCTGGGAGGCTGCAATCCGTGTCTTCTTTGAAAGTTTTTGTAGTAGTGCCATCGAAGCCGACATCGTTGGCTTGAACTCTGTGATACATGCTTGTGCAAAAGGCCAAGTTTGGAGGAAAGCGCTTTACCTTCATGCAGTTTCATCGGTACGTGGTCTATTCGAGATCGGCGGTCCACAGGGAGCCAACGCTGCGATCAGTGCATGCCGAGAAAAGGCTTGGACCTTTGCTCTTGGTCTTTTTAGTGGACTGCGTGAGCAGCGAATTGCTTCTGTCGTCAGTTACGGCGCCACCACAGCTGCTCTTAACGAAAGCAATTGGGCAAAAGCCTTGCACTTGGCACTGCTCGCCGGACCCAGCCACCACAAAACTGTCATATGCAACTCTGTTATGTCAACGTGCGGCTGGCGTCGTGCGTGGTCCATTCTCAGTGGCATCTCATCGCCAAGCGTGGTGAGTTTCGGTAGTGCGCTTGGCAGCGGACGCAGAGGAGGATCCTGGCCGCTGACACTGTGGTATTTGGTGTGGATGCTGGCTCGCAGATTCACACCCAATAGAGTAACTTACAATGCTGCAGTCGATATTTGCAGACTCCATGGGCGTTGGATCCGGTGTGTTGCAATCCTAAACTTGCTGCAATTGCAGCCGCAAGAGGATCGCTGGCACAGCACCGTCATCTATGCCTGCGATGCTTGTCTCAAGGCTAGCAATTGGCAGAGTTCGCAGGTGCTCCTCTGTCGCGACCCACAGCGAATGGACGGGGTAGGGAGCACACTGGCGATTGCCAGCGCGGGCCCAGCATGGCCCACAGCGCTGAGGACTTTCGGGAGCCTTCGGTCTCGACGCATTGAAGCTGGGTCTGTGACGTACCATGCTGTCGTGGCATCGCAGGAATGGTCGGAGTGGCAGAAAGCCCAACAGGTTCTCATTGCAATGCAGATGTCGCAGGTGCAGACATCGCTGGCTACACACGCCACGGCCATGCAAGCTTACAAGAAATCTTCCAAGTGGGATTTTGCAGTGCAGCTATTTGGCAGTGGCTCGGATGCCGTTCAGGCCGATGCCACACTTCAAAATGCTGTCGTCGATGCCTGGGGGCAGCTGCACATGTGGCAAACCGGTATGTTCCTGCTATCCTCCATGGCTTTGAGCCTGCAAGTTCCAGACCTTCCGAGCTTCAACGCTTGCCTTGATTCATGTGAGAAATGCAAGCAGTGGAAGATGGCCTTGAGCTTAGTGAGCAGAATGCAGTGCTTTCAAGAGTCTAAGGGACCACGCCCTGGCGCAGCGACAGTTGAAGCTGTCCTGGCTGCTTGTGAACGGTGCTCCAGATGGCAGAACTCGCTAGTGGTGCTAGAAGACTTGGCCGATGCAGCTGAATTCAGCGGTTCGGGGGACAGGTTACCGCACGCTTGGACTTATGAGGCAGGTGTAGAGGCTTACTCGAGGGCCCGGCGACACCGGAAGATCCCAAGTTTACTGGAGCAGTTCAGCGAATTCGCTCAGATTGGGCTCACACGTTTTGCAGCATGCAGTTGAAGCGTGTCCAGGAAGTTTTTCTGCAGAGCGTCCAATTGCTGTGGTTCAAAAAGAATCCGAACTTGCAAGCACTTCTGAGCACAGCGTGAGCAAGAGAGCGAGGGAGCGCGAGCCCAGCGGTTTTTGTGATCGTGAGGCATTGGAACTGCGGAAGATGCCTTAGATCTTTGCTCGGAAGCAGGCGCTGCGTGGTCTTCAAGTTCAAAGCACAGAGCAGTACAGAACAAAACAGAGCAGGGAGCATCCTTTTGGGGCACGGGGCATCCGTCTTGTCCGAGAAACATTGCAAGATTGAAGATATCACGAAGCTTGCGATAGGGCTAGTCTCGCAAAAGACAAAGATGAAGTGAAGAAGTGGTGTTCTTGAATTCTTCGGTCCGAAAATCAACGTTTTCAGGATTTCGGGCAACAGCTTGGGAATGGCTGTTTGTCAGGCTGCGTGTTTTGATGCAAGCTGGCTTGTTTCACCTTTTAAGCCTGTGACACGAATTAATCAATTCTTGTTGTAGGTGCGGCCTAGCTGGCTATGTGTTGTGAGTCATTGAGTCAGACTGGCAACCGAAATGCAAAGCCTCCTGTTGCTGTTCATAGCAAGCCCAGCAGAGCAAATAATCGAGATTGAGAAGGCAACAGAGCTTCACTACCTCACAGGCACAGGACGACACACACCTACGAAATGGATGACAATGTGCTCTGCATGCTCACGGAGCGGGCACGCTAACGTCGTTGGTCACTCGCCCGGAACTGTGGTACTCACCTCATGAACTAGCCATGCAGACGGGGCGAGAAGATACGCTGGCGCGCCGACAGCATAATCCTGCTTTTGGCAGGCCGTTTGTACTGCGATCTTGACGAGCGCCGTGGGGTCAGCAGCTTTGCAGTTCTCTCCAATCTTTAGAGACATGCACACAAGCAACGTCATGTTGGCGGTCACTTGTTGTACACGAGGTCAGTACCCTGTTGGCAACATTATCCCGGGCTCACTTGGCCTGCCATTCGTGCAGATCTCAGGATACACATATCTCAGGCTAAACGGAATCCTTTGCAATGTTGTGGTACGGAAGCAATGCATAGCCGTCTGGTCGTCAGCTTGCAACCCGAGGTTTGTTGGCTTTGTTGAGGTTATTCATGCCTTCGTCAACGATTGCCGACATTCTGGTGTCAGCTTTTCTGGGACTCCCCAGCCCTAAACCCAATCTAACAGTGTGCCAACTCCCTGTACATCTTGTTGCTTTTCATGATCTTGCTGTATGAGTGCAGGGATCGACACGCAAATGATTTTGCTTCGGACAATGGAGCAGATGAATCTCGAACCACGTGAAACACTTCTAGTTGTAACACGAACTGGGGCTGCAGTGCCAGAGTAGGTTCTTGCAGAATGCAGGTGAGACAGTTATGATGTCGTTGCTCGGAGCAAGCCGGGAGCGTATGTTTAGCTGTGAGAGACCCTGCAGGTAGATGCAGGTAGATGGACATCTGGGGTTGGAATTCAGATCGAAAATGATGTCATGATGTCGCTTGATGAGGTGCGCAGGAACTGATGGGACGTATCATTCAATCGCGGTGCAGACTTTCTGCGGTCCCAGTATGATCTCGAACAAACAGAGGTTGAAGCCATGAAACGCAACAAACGACTCCGTCATAAGACAAACTGGGCGCAAACGATTGTCGATTGTGCGCCAGCAACTCTATCTAAGCTCGGCATGAAGGCACGAATGGGGTTCGGGCACGGAATTTCCAAAGAGAAGCTACACGTTGAACATATAGTGAAAACTTGACATGTTTTCGTGTGTGTATGACGTGACAAACACTAGCGCGCTTGTTGTAGTGACAATTCGCTAGCGTGGTCGGAGGGAATACTTACACAAGGTGTTTGATCGTGGCCATTTGGGTCAAGATCACACCGATTTCTTTGAGGTGTGGTCTGCAACAAGGTGGGTAGTGCATGGACCTGGTGGTCGTTGCAGACTCGGCTTCCTTGGCCCCTACCCTCCTGGGTGGGCCATTGGTGGTCTGGTCCGAGGCGACCGGCGGGGAGTGCGCCCTCTTGGCCTTCGCTGCCGACTTTTGGCTGCTGGGCCTCGCCTGCGGCTGTTGCTTCTCGGCCCCGACAGCGCCGCGGAGGCAGACTCGACCTCTACGAGGGCCTTTGGACCGCTGGGCCGCTGTCAGCCGCCGAGCCCTGTTCTTCTTGGGGCGAAGGCGCCGAATCTCCTTGGCTTTCGGGCACTATAGGGAGGTGGACCTCCGCAACACTGCGGGTTCTCGACCGAACGCAGCCCGCAGAGCTCGGAGAGCGAGCACGCCACGGGCCGCAGGACTTCTTTACGAAGGTCCGGCCCTAGCGACGCGAGCCCCTCTGGCAACAATGGACCCAACGGAGGCGGAGCGCGATATCGGACCTCGCCGGCGTGCTTAACTGGGCTGGTGTGGCAGGTCCTTTGGAGACCGCCATCAAGCTGGCCTTGGGCCAGCCACAAAGGGTCCGGGAGATCGTCCTCATTCCCCGGCCTTCTTGGGACGCCGCCATCGCAGCCTTGAAGGTCATACCGCTGGATGCTGATGGCGCACCAGAGCCCGCACGGGACCCGACGCTTGTGGAGCTGGCGCGGCTTGAGTCGGTTAGGAGGGTGAGCTGTTTGAGGATGGGCGTCACGCCCGACAGCCCCGGTGCCGCTGGGCCCTCGGCTCCTACCCCGGCCATGGTTGCTGCGGGCCCTGCCTCGCCTTCCGGAGGCCGCAAGCTCAAGCTTTCCGCCATCCTGGACCCGACGCTGGATGCAGATGTGGTGGTGCTAGAGCAGACGGAGACACAGACGCTCTACACCGAGTACAAGAAGAAGTACGGGGACTTCCCCTCACACGAGAGTGACCCCTCGCTGGATCAGCTCTCGGCCCTCAAACAAGTTTTGCAAGCGGGGGCGGCCCCTTACACCGACTTCTCCTTGTTCGGACCGCATGGCCTTCGGCTCCTCCGCAAACAATCCTTCACGGCCTACGTCCTCAACGTGTCCACAGGGGAATGGACAAAGAAGGAGCAACCAGGCCCAGGCTCCTTTCATGCCTGGTACGAGGCCTGGAAGGTCTACCGAACAGCCATGCTCCTGCTCGAGGTTGTGGACTCCGAGCGCCTCGACAGCTACGCCGAGCACGTGCGGAGTTTCCTCACGCAGTTTGGGGACTCCGCCTGGTGGTTGATCTACAAGGCGGAAAATCGCCTGAGGTGCGAGCACTTAGAGCGCCTGCGCCGCCGACTTCATGATCAACCAGACTTCGGGTACACGCCAGCCCGGCCTTGGAACGCGGCGTTCGCGGCGGCGGTGAAGGACATGGAGTTTTGGACGAGGGAGCTGGTCACCCCGGCCACGCTTTGGCTTTCTGGAACCTCGGGTCCACCACGGCCGGCAATCCCGCCACCGAGCCAGGAGGAGGAGCCGAACCCACGACCTGGCAAGGCTAAGCGCAAGTACACCGGCGACGACCACAGCGAGAAGGAGGGCAACGTGTTCGTCAAGAACAGGCGCGGGGTCACCCTGTGTGGCGACTACAACCAGAACCGCTGTGGATCGAAGAAGCCCCAAAGCAAATGCAAGAATCGCTGCTCGCATCAATGCAACATTTGTTTGGGGCCTCACCAGGCACTCGAGTGCCCCAAGCGCTGAGACGAGGCCGGCGGCGGGGGTGCCACTCCGTCAGAACCTTCTCGGGCAACCGGGGGCTCAGCGGGGGCACCTCAAGCCGCCACTTCTGCTGCTGGAAAGGCCACTGGGCCCAAGGACTACTTCGCCCCGACGCCCAAGATCAGATCTGGTGCCGCTGCCCGGCTCGACGACACGGCGGAGCTCATACGGAGGACCGCGGCTTCCAAGGCGGCTCTCTCGCCTCCCCCTCTGAAGCGGAAGAAGCCGGACGACCCGCCACGAGACCTGGGGCGGCAACGGCCAAGGACACCGCCCAAAGCCCGGGCTAGGCGCTCAGCCGCGGACTCCAGCACGGGGGCAGGCCAGGCAGCGAGCGCAAGAGCACAAGCAGTCAGGTGGCGCATCTCATCCCGCCATCGAGCCACAAGGTGCCTCTTTACCGGCCCATGGACAGGGGACCTCGCGCCCACGGCACTTGGTTGGAGAAGCCCGGCGAAGCCTCGTATTCCGAATGGCGCCACAACGGCACCGGCGAGTACAAGGGCAGGCCCTGGGCATTGGTCATGTTTTCTGGAAGGCTTCGGCGAGGGCCCCAGCTGGCTGGCAGACTATGGGTTCCTGGTTTGCGCCCTGGACAAGCGAGCCACCGAACCGACTGACCTCCTGGACGAACCGGCCCACTCAGCAATCCTTCGCGACCTGGTCGGCAGGTATGCAGTGTTCTGGGCGGCCCCTCCGTGCGGCACTTTCTCGCCTCTACGCGAGGTCCGTCCCGGCCCTCCGGTACTGCGGAGTGAGCAGCACATCGAGGGTCTGCCCAGCCTTGGCAAGAAGGAGAAGGAGCAGGTCAGGACCGCCAACCTACTCATCGAGCGGTGCTCTGATTCAGTCGTGGCGATGTGGGACCTCAAGCTCACTTGGGGGGTGGAGAATTCCGACCACCCCGTGGGGAAACCCAGCCTATGGGCCATGCCCTCCTTCCGGGCCATTATCGACCTCGACCGCGTCGGCGCAGCAGACTTCGATCAGTGCCGCTTCGGCCTGGAGACGGTGAAGCCGACTCGGTTCCTGTTCTCCGCCCACGTAGACTTTGCCAAACTACACGGGCAGCGGTGCAACCACCCGCGCGGCACCCAGTCAGTGGCAGGCAGGCAGGTCTCTGATTCGGCGGGCCACCAACGCTGGGCATCTGCCAACCAAGCCGAGTACACGGCCCACCTCTCACAGATCATTGCGGAGGCTCTTTACCAAGGTTATCGCAGGGCGGCCTAGGGCGGCCTTGGACAAAGAGGAGCTTTGAGGTGCTGAGTTCGAGGCTCTTCCCTCTCGGGGCCCGCAGACCGAGAGGGAGGCTGAGAACGAGCGGGCGCTTGGTGGCCTGCGCAACCCCAGGCGTGCACTGACTCGACTTCCCAGGTCGGCCGCCGTTGGAATTGCCATCCGTCGGCTTCTGTCACGGGCCGTGGATCTTTGGCCCGAGCTCCTGGACCCTGCCGTGGCAATACTTCGTGGAGAAGAGCCGGCAGACTTCAGCCCGGAAGCCGTCAGTTCGGTGCGATCTGCCGTCCTTACGGCGCTTGGCGCAACCGAGGGGACGCGCAAGAGGAAGAGGACGGCACCGCGGCAACACCCATTCAGGCATCTGTGCTCGAAGCCTGGGGTGACGCCACCGATGATCCGGATGCCAAGCTCCTGGCGCACTGGTTGGATCATGGCGCCCCTCTCGGTATCGAGCAGGCGGTGCCGACCACGGGCGTCTTCATCCCGGTTTCCCGGGATGGCCAAATGCCGGCGTGGCAGCTTGACAGGCGAGCTTTGGAAGGCTGGAAGAATTACCCTTCGGCCGAGGCAGAAGAGGGCACCCTTCGCGACCTCCTCGACGACTATGTCAACCGGGGTTTCTGCGTCTTGGTCGCCACCGAGGAGGAGGCCGAAGCGATCCTAGGAGGGCCGCCTGTTCTGAACCGCCTGGGCGTGATCGCGAAGGACAAAACCGATGCGCAGGGCCGGCCAGTCCGAAAGGCACGGGTTATCTGGGACCTAAGGGAGTCCCGAGTTAACTTGGCGTGCTGCCAGGGCGAGCGGATCCTCCTGCCCCGGCTCCTTGACGTTGTCTCCTCCCTTCTTCGAGTCTACAGAGAAGGGGGAAAGCCCTACTTGGCGGGCCTCTACATAAAAGATGCGTTCATGAACGTGCCGGCGGGCCCGGACCGCAAGTTCACCGCTGCGGCGGTCCCATGGGGCATCGTGCTGTTCAACACGCTTGTGTTCGGGTCGGCGTCCTCTCCCACAGTCTGGGGCAGATTCGCCGCCTGGTTAGGCCTGCGGTCGCTGACACTGACCCACAGTGCTATGTTGACGACCCGGTCTTTGTCATGTTCGGGCCCGGCCTTGGCGCAGCCGCCCGTGACTTGGCCATTACCCTCCTTTGGGTGGCCGTCACTGGCTTCCCGACGAAGCTCAACAAGGCCAACGGCGGGAAGACCATAGAATGGGTCGGTGCAAAGATTGAATGCGACGATGAGGCGGAGACGGTCACGGTGACCATCCCCGAGCACAAGGTCAAGCAGCTCCTCGCCGACACCAACAAGCTGCTGAGCCGCCCGGTCATAGGCGCCAGGGAGCTGCGGTCGTATGCCGGCAGCATGTCTTTCATTGCAGGCTTGGTGCCTCACCTTCGACCCTTCTTGTCCACCTTCTGGTCGGCGCTCTCTACGTGTGGTTTGGCTAATGATGGCCGCCCCGCCCGGAAAGCCAGAAACCTGATCCACACTAAGAGGGTGGCCCCTGGCCTCAAGTGGATACGAGCGCTGTTGGTGGACAACGTCCTGCAACGGATTTTCTTCGCAAAGCCCGCCCACACCGACGTCGAGATCGTTACCGATGCCAGCCCGTGGGGCATTGGTGGCATCATGAGGGTGGGCGGCAAACCCACCGAGATCTTCTACTCCAACCTCCCGGACGAGCTCCTCAAGAAGTTTTCGGCCGAGAGGGGTGTTTCGAAGTTTAACACCCTCTGGGAAGGAGTCGCTCTTTTGGTGGCGTTCCGCCTTTGGCTCCCGAACCTCTCTTTCGGAGCCGTGTACAGGGCGAAGTCCGATAACCTCGGCTTCCTGCGAGCCCTATCGCGTGGAAGCGCAAAGTCGGCCACTTTGAATGTGCTGGCCCGCGAGTTTTCGCTGGACGTCGCCCTCCGGTCGTATCAGGTCCGGGGCCTCGCACACATTCCGGGCATCAGCAATATCCAGGCCGATGCTTTGTCACGCCTGTTTTCTCCCGAGCCGAAGCACTTCCCTCCAGAACTGGAGCACGTGCCGGCCAGAACGGTGGACCTCACCGAGGCCTTTTGGAAGGTCGTGTGAAAAAGTGCACTCAGCGCCGCGTTCTTGTCTTGCCCTGCTGCCGTACTGCTTCCCTTCTTGTCTGCTCTCTCTCCGTAGCTACTTCGGTCTACATCAGGTCATGTGGGTGTGATCTTGCCTTCCTGAGTTTTCGACGGTTAAAACTGTTGACTAGCAGGAGGTGCGACCTGACGACCAATGTGTTAAAACAGCCTGCGTCCCACCATTGCTTGTTATGGCGGTTGTTTGGGGAGCGGTTTGCGAATTGTCGTGACAAACACTAGCGCACTTGTTGTGGTGACAATTCGCTAGCGTGGTCGGAGGGAATACTTACACAAGGTCTTTGATCGTGGCCACTTGGGTCAAGATCACACCGATTTCTTTCCCACCCGCCCACACCGGGTGTGATCTTGCCCTCCTGAGTTTTCGACGGTTAAAACTGTTGACTAGCAGGAGGTGCGACCTGACGACCAATGTGTTAAAACAGCCTGCGTCCCACCATTGCTTGTTATGGCGGTTGTTTGGGGAGCGGTTTGCGAATTGTCCAATAATAGAGGCCTGGACGTCTTGACGCCCCGACACGCTGACTTCCTGTGCTTTGTGTGTTCCGCCGCTGGCGACCTTCGACCTGGCCGGCCTGGTTGCGTTGGCCCGGCCGCTTCCCGGGGTAGGATGCTCAGCTCTAAAGTTTGGCGTTGCAAGGCCGGAAGAGGCGCTACGTGCAGCACGCGACAGCCTGCAAAGTTTGAGAGAGCTTGAGCCAGGCAAGGGTGGAATGTCGGTCGATAGTGTCGCAGAAAAATCAGACCTGGCAGGAGCGATGTCATCACAGGATATGCTTTCGACACGAAGTGCACGCTTTGTGAGACAGAGGCAGCTTCTTGCTGAAGCGCGCAGGACGGCATTGTGGATAGGCAGTTCGAGCACATCATGCAAGAGGCCCCTGAAACCAGCGCCTGCATCCTGCAGCCCAAGAGCTCAGCTGCGCCAAATTCAGGTGCAGGCCCTCCTCTGTTGTGGTAAGGCCAGCTGCCTCAGCAGCCCAGTACCGGGACTCGAGGTTTGATTTGTGTTGTCTGCCAGGCACAGCTGGTTTTGCAAAGAGGCGCAGTGTCCTCAGAGTTGAGCGGGTTGCACACGGGGGGGGAGTGGCAGGAGTCGAGACTGCCCGGAAGTTTTTGGAAGATGCCTTGAACCTTCTTGAAGGACAGTTCCGTGATTCAGCCGCAGAGCTGTGAAGCAAAACCATCCATGCAGGACTTCGAGGCTCGGTTCCTCAAGGCCGGGATGATTGCGGCGATGTTCGGTATGTTTCGGTGTTTGCAAAGGCGAAAGGCTCCCGGTGAGCGCTGAGGCTCTCGAGTCAGAAATCACTCTTGCATGGGCCTCATCTGGCCAAGAGGATCTGTATCGCAGATCCAGCATGGCTGAGGTCCTGGTGGAAACGGAGATGGGCAGGGCACACAGATGCAGAGAACCGCATCAAGGCGACGTGGCGTTCTGCGCTTGCAGATGAGCCAGCCAAAGCTGCTGAGAGGGCAGGAGATGCTCGCACGAGGCCTTTTATGCCCGAGGATTGCGCGAGGGGCGAGAGCTGCCAACTTAGCTGCGATTGCATTTTGCGAGGTTTCAAAGGGATGGTCGCAAGGACCTGGAAGCTGCCGCGTTGCAGCTCTTGGTCATGGGCCCGGTTTTGCATATGGATCATATGGTGTTCACGGAGCGCACAGTCTTTCAGCACACGAGGCCCGGGCCTACATTGCCCAAAATGAGCCTGTGCCTTGAAAGAGACCGAAGGGCTGAGAGAGTTGTGAGTTCATTCGCCGTACAGAGCTTGAGGCCGTCGGCAGGAAGAGAAGCAGCCAGAGAGGCTCAGTAAACACACGGTATCACTAGCATGAGGGAGCAGGATGCTAGGTGCACGCCTTGTAGCCGCAATGTCGCATCTTTTGAGGCAATCCGTCTCTGGCAGGCCATCTGCTGCAGCTTGTTTTGTTGAGATGTCCTTTGTATTTGGCAGTTGACGGGTCCCGCATCTTCCGCAGCAAAAGCATGTCCGTTGGAAACACACTGGGAATTGACCAGAGGAGCTGAATGACACCAAAGGTGAGAAGGAAACGCTGCAGCGGGAAGCTCAGTTGGCTCGCTATGTGAGCGTCCGGAGATACTTCACGTTGACTCATGAGCAAGAGCCTTGCTGTTCGTGTTCGTCTGCTTCTTACATTACGACCTTTCACAAGGCTCCTTGTGAGTGCGGAGCTTCTTGGAAACACTGGTTCTGCTTCAGCCTTGGGAGATTGATGCGACTCCGATACTTTTTTTGTGCGCCTCTGTCGCAAGAGAAGGCGATGCAGATAGCAAAGCAGGCGGTTCGGTCCTTAGAATACCAAAGCGAAAGTCCGTGATTGTTGCCTTTGCGATTAGAGGAGCGGTTGCGGAGGTCGAGCGCTTCAAAAATGAAGGAGACAGCAGGAATGAGGCCTTGGCGCTGCAGACAGTTGCTCTTAGCTCAGTGGATTTCAGCATCACTGCCCGCCCCTCTGGTGTGGCTGAATGCGGGACTGCCGCAAGGCCAAAACCCACATTGCCAACCAGGAGTTTCTCAGGGCAGCGCGCATCTCCAAGGTCGGAACTCTGTCTAGCCGGTCTTGCATCCTGAGATACCCTCAGATTGCCCCTGCGATAGGATGCCCAAAGAATCTTGGGTCAACTTGGGGCATCATTCTCAGGTGCTCTTCGTATGTCTTCGTTTGCTGCATTGCCTAGAGCTGACAGCTCGCCAAGGACACGGACGGCGAGATGGAGATGCTCGAGACCGCCGTAGTTTGCTAAGCGTTTCAGTGCCCATGAGCCAGTCATGTGGCGCTCTGCCTAGTTGTTTGGTGGGTCTGAGAGGGCACTTGGTGCCAGTTCAAGAGCATGCGTTACATCCGTTACACGCTCGAATCTCATGGCCTTCCGGCATTCCAGTGCGATCTCCGGCATCGACACCCGCTATGGAGTCAGAACTGAAAAACTACAGGTTTGGGATGGTTTGAGAGTGTGTCCATGTGAAATTGTGCACCGCCATCAACAACCATCAATGCGTTCTGTCCAACGTGTAGGGTTGTGGATAACAGGGCTTTCCGACGCTGCAGCCCGGCATGGATAAGGCTCAGGAGAGCAGTTTGTTAATATGGAGATACGGGACCTGTGAAGGAGGGAGGGGGTTCTTGCATCGTTCTTTGATGACGAAATCAAACTTTTTGAAGGATGAGTGAGGAGAATGTGAGGACATTGTGTCTTAGTCTTTGCTGTTGCTGCTGCGGTGCGGAAAGCTGGTCGTCAAACGCTAGTCGCTCCTACAAGAAGCTCTTGTATGTCTTAGTCCAAAAGCAGTACTTCAGGATCTCGCGCCGCGAGTCACTGACTTTCAGCTCGAAAGTTCATTGAGCGAAGTTGTATCAACAGATCATGAGGAGCTTGCTGTATAGGAATGTGCTGACAACATAAAAACCGCTCTCGTGTGCATGTGTTGTCTTGCCTGGGTGTTGCTGGTGCGTTGTGGCGATCCTTGTCTCGGCGAGTGGGACAGTCCATGCGATCACCCGCATGATCGGTCCTGGAGTGAGTGCACACTATATCCGCACTAACTCGGGTAACAGCTCACTCTCACGCATGATCTGTTCATTCTGTTCCAGTGTCATGGCGCTTTTTTATCTGCACATGCATGCATGTGCTTTGTCCGACCGCACTGACCTTCAGTTGAAGTCACTGAACAGATGGATGCAGATGTCAATGCCATAGTCTGATTTCAATTCGAACGCGTTGCCCAACGGCAGCGGTCATTCTTCCGCAATCGAAGCAAGCTCAGGTTCCCCACTCTTTTGTCTTCTTGCCGTGGTGGAGTTGAAGGGATCGACGAGCATTCCTGGTCTTAGGTCCCGGAACGTCGTGTCACAGTAGTTTTGCCACTGCAGCCGGAGAACTAACTGTCGACTGCCGAGAAGCGAAGCCTGCATTTGTAGATTCTGGCCGGCACCCACCATCTAAAGTCTGAAAGATGGCCTGCGGTGTGTCAGTCGCTGCTGGATTGGCTTGCCAGCTGAGGTGGAAGCGCACTTGGCACGTCCAGAAGCCGAGAGCAAGGCGTCTAGCTGGCTGTGCTATATTTCGCTTTCGTGTGTGCCCTTCCCATTGACCCTACAATCAACGGAGCCTGTCTGCATGGCTGTGCGTACTGGCCTAATGTCGGGTCTCCATTCTTGGCATGTCGTGTGCTGACGGTAGGTTTCTAGCAAAGCATTGTCACACGATGCTACCAGCATGGTGTCGTCAGGAGGATGCCTTGCTCTTTGCTCAGTTGTCTTGAACTTCAACGTTGTATTCCGAACTTGCATGTGTGCCCAGGCAGGTGACTGTAGAAGCTCTATCTGAGTTTCGTCGTCGCGACAACTTACGAGGCAGGAGTGCAGGCTGCACCCCTGACGAGCAGTGACCATCGATTCGAGTCGGATGGCCTTGATTCCTATAGACAGCATGTGGCAGCCATCGAAACAGACTAAATCCGGCAAGCAAACCGTCGCAGCCGGCTGCCACAGAGGCACAGACATGACGGAGACTTTGTTCAACAGCACATGCTACCTGCTCACGACTGACCGGGTGGTAGCGATTTGTTCCATGGGCTTTGCGCTGACTTGCAGGCCAAGCTCTCACATTGGGCTTGCTCGTGCAAAGCTCAGGGCGAATGCACATGCGGTCTGCACGGGCATAGCAGCCTCATCACTAATTACTACACAACCATGTCACATGTCACCATGTCCTGGCGCGGAAGTTTCAGCATGCCGAGGCCCGCGTGTATCTACAAATCCCAGACCCAGAAGCTGCAGTTCATGCTGTCAGGGAGCCACTGTGTGTGCTGTGTTTGAATCCGCAGCTTGTCCCTTAACTCTTGTCCTTGTTCCAGAAGCCTCAATTTGGTTCCCTCGTCGATGCAGGATGCTGTTGCCTTGTTCAGAGAGCTCGGCGCAGCACCCCCAGATTGATCGTCAGTCTGCTTTGTTTACCAGTCATCCCGATGCCCCACAGCAAGCACGGGTGCCTGCAGGCATATCGCGGCAGATCAGTTCGTATCACCAAGTAATCAATTGGTCTTTGTCTGCCGTGAAGGACCGAAAGTCGGAGATGCTTCTGCCCGGCTCTTACGGACTTCCCTGGCTATCAGCAATCTGCACGGGCCTTCTAGCTGCTCGAGCTCTGCACTAGGATCCGATCCATCATCAACGAAGATTTGGTGCCCGAGTCCATTGAAAGCGTGCACCTTACTTAGGAAAGCGAAGGCTGCAGCTGGAAATGTTGAGCAAGAGCTCACGATTAGAATGTTGGCAACTCGCTTGGAAGCCAACTTTGCAGGCGTTTACAATCATCACTGGCCCACCTGTTTTCCACTAAAGTCGTGATTCACGGTGCTGTCCTGCTTGTGTGACGGGCTGTTGGCTGTCTCTGTTCCGGCGTGGTCCGCCCTTGCATGGTCCTGAAAGTGGGCTGCTGTGCTTGCAGAGCTGTCACGGCTCTTTGTTGCAATATGTTTGCATTCAGTCACTCTCGGGTTTGTGCCGTGCTTCATTTTGTGCAATACCGTCTGGAGGTGATTCTGAGCCTGATGTACTTGTTGGTGCTTCATGATGACCGCACATCCTTCAAAGTTCTCCGACCGCAAGTGAGGAGCAACCCCTCAGTACTGAGCTGTCGTACGCGTGAAAATTTGTTGCCAGGCGATGCGTTTGTTTGTTTCGAATGCGCACAGAAGAAGAGGGTTGAGTTTCTGCGAGGAAACGGCTCTCCAAGGCAATCTTGTGTTTGTGCCGGAGTTCCACTCATCGCTGTGCCTTTGCATTTCTCGAATGTTGTGGCATGATGTCTATCTATTCCTTCAAAGTTCTCCGACCACAGACGTGGAGAGACATCTCACAACTGAGCCAGCAACGCGAGGCCTGTTTAGGGTGTATGCCACGTGACACAGTGTAGCGACGTTTGCTCGAAAGATCGCGATGTCGTGAGCGTTGTTGATTGGCGAGAGAGGCCGTTGCGCTGTTTGCCCAAGTTCGGGTGTAGTTGGCTACATGATACTTATGTGCACAGAAACAAGGAGCCCTGCTTGGAATGAAGCGTCATCGTTTGGTGTCTAAAGAGCTGTCCAAGAACTGCTTGCTGTGTGTCTTGGATCGAAACAGAAGCTTTGCAGATTCTGATTTGAGACCAGGATCTGTGCAATCTTGCCTGCTGATGCAGGCTGTGGCAAGTGTTGTTTTGGAGACTTCGTCGGAAGGCCCGTCTGCACTTTCAATTTCAGCCCCGAGCCTCTTCGATCCGGCTTGGATCGTGTTTCACAGCTCGCAACCGATCTTTCGGGACTCGACACGGAGATCTTCTGGTGTCCTTGTTCCCTTGGATTCCCCTTCGTGATAGTCTTGGGTAGGATCCGGTCTCTGGTCTCTGCTGACTGACCGCACGCTGGCATGGACGGCGCTCCACTTGTCCACCTGATGCATATTTCTTGTTGCAGATCTCGGCCTGTTTTAGTCGGCATGATGTCTTTCCGGTCAGATCCCTTCTAAGCCAATCCATGGTGCATTACTCCCGGCACCACGGCCTGGTTGGCTATGTTGAATCCTGAGTTTCAGACCGGCATGCAAGATACACGAAATCGTGAGAGTATGGTGCTGCTGCAGTCTCTGCGAAGGCAGCCGAGCCTTGAATTTTGAATTCTTGAATTCAGCTGTTGACGACAATTCCACTCCGCGGGTCCCGTCCTGGGTTTTTTTGTGTGAGCTCATAGCTTCGAGGTGCAGACGCTTCCCTGCGGGCAGTGAAGGCCGCATTGGCAGCCGCGCTCCCAAGGGGGAACCATTGGGAACCATAGAATGTGAAGCCATGTGCAACCTGGACTCATCTGGACTCTACAGAGCGCTGATCTGAAAAGGGCCGATGTATGGTACTAACGTGCCTGGCCTTTGAGGTCTGTCACCAGGCCGATGACAAGCGGGGCCAAGCAGACTTTGCCCGAGAATGGTGTGTTCAATGATTTGCGGATTTCTGTTAGACAATCTGCCAAGGTGATGCTCAAGATTACCTTCAGGACGCATGTTCTGAGCACAATTCCCCAACATAAACTCTAAAGCGTGTCTTTCCAACCATCTTCTTAGTGCCAGTTGGAGGACATTCAGGAGGCAGCTTGCTAGAGTGCTCCCTGGGTCTAGAGATACCACATGGAATGGTGAAGAAGTTCACAAGCCCGTTCAATTTGGAGATGATCGCTATGATGCCACCGAAGCATAGTAGGACATGCTGTCGGGTTGGTCCTGAACGGAAAGGTGTTTCGTTTACGGCATTGGCAGGGAAGGCTGTGATCTGTTTTCGGTCGGAGTCGAGACTGGAGGGGGATTTGGTTGGGAATTTGGCTCAGTAGTCGGGCTGGTCTGCTGGATTGGAGTCGAGACTGGAGGGGGGTAGAACTCGGAGGATCCTCCTTGCCAGAGAGCGGCCCGAGCGTGCTCTTCAGGCAGCCGAGGAGGACCGCGTGACTTTTGTGCGCCTCTGTCTGCAGCTGGGGCTGGGCCCTAGGCATGAAAACTGAGAGGCGATGAAGATGTATCGCGAACAGGAGGACGAGTGCAGGCTTCCTGGCGTTGGCTCTCTACGCTCTGTGCTGGGAGGATCGTGCAGGTGAGGCGCAGATGGCTCTCCAGACAACAAAGGCCGGCATAGCAACGATTGGGTCTCAGGGGCTGATGCAACCGAAGATCGCCAAACGAGCCTCCTTCCACCGTCCACCGTGTGGTGAGTCTCGTCTGGAGGTCCTTGTCGAACGCGAGGAGTTTCGAAAGGCTTTGAGCGCAGCTCAGGGAGCGGGCCTTGAGTTTCTCATTGAGTTAGCATTGCAAAAGTATTGCACAACGCGAAGTGGGAAGCCTGGGAAGCTAGGTGCTGTTGCGCTCTTCAGAGAAGTCCAGGCCTCAGAAAGTCTTCACCACTTGTGCTCTTGCTCGGTTTCTGCTTCTGGCAAGTTGGCCTCCTATTGACTTGAGACCCTTCCCCCAACCCTAAAGCGCGAAAGACATCCAGATTGGACATGCCTCGAGTTTGTGTTTGGTGTCTGTGTGTGATCGTCTTTGGCTTCTGACAGCTTTTTGAATTTTGCTTGTTGATTCGAGAGAAACGCCGAAAGACAGAGAGAGAGAGAGACCTGCCCCAAAAAGGGGACCGACAGATGAGGCGCGTGGGGGTGCAAATAGTTTTGGGTTTGGGGTTGTCCGGTTCAGAACGCGTGCCTCATTCTGGAGGGGGCCGAGACCAGACCAAAGGACGTCGGGGCGCGTGCGCGCGCGGGGCAGCTTGCTGCCCTTGACCGATTGCAAGCAAGAGAGACCTGCCACCGCTAGTACCGCCGGTAGTAGATACGGTCAGATGGTGTCACCTCGAGCCGAGCTCGGCACATTCGGCGGCTGGGCAGACACGTGTTCGACTAAAGGCCGGTGATGCGGTCGGGGAGCTTTCAGCCCTACAAGCAGCTGTGGACGCCCATGCAGCGCGAGGTGCCTCGGCCGTCTCAGGGGACCCGAGCACTGGCGTGCTGTGTTCTCTGACACGGATAGAACGGCATGTTTTGCGGACTTGTTGAGTGGGTCGGTGCAGAGGCCAGGTAGCGCAGATTCACGAGAACCAGAGGTTTGCGTGTGCAAGACTTGCTCGCATTTTTTCGAAAGCCGATTTCTAGGGAATGCTAGTGGCGACTTATGCCAGCAAGCACTCAAAGACGAGCCGCGCTTGTCTTCAGTACAGACTATGACTAGGAGTATTCAGTATGCGTGACGTGAACAGGCGACCATGCCATGGTCCTTGAGTCCTCCAAAGAGGCATCAATGGAAATCCTCAAGATCGCTCAAGGCTCGGGCCTCAGCGTCACATTCGCTTGCTCGCAGGTGTTGGAGAAGTGTCGCTTGTTGCAAGATCCTGCGACGGGCTCTCAGAAAAAAGGGGCTTCCTCTCCATTTGCCATCGGAGCACCTTTGTCGTTTGCAGGTCGGAGGCAACGCTGCTGCAGAGGGTTTGTGAGGCCTGCAGTCATCTGGCAAACCCTTGAAAAACCGTTAGTTGTAGTGTTGCACACGTCTTGACTCGGACTCGTAATTCCCTTCAGGTCTACTTGGAACAAGGCGGCAAGGAAAATGCCGAGGCATCACGCTTTCCAGACCGTACCTGTATATTGTAGTTCCATCAGTAAAATTACGTCATAACACTGCTTGGAACGAGGTCGTGGCACGCACTGCAAAGCAGGCGCACTCTCTCGCAAGAGCCGCCGCCATCTCAGCTCACAGTGAGGCATCCTCGTAGCACTCGGGCACGTCTGCAAAAAGACACCCTGCGCAGGCTGGAGATTTGAACGGCGAAACAGCGGCACTGGCCGCATTGGTTACGTCCTTACCGCATCAAGCGCTGGGAGAATGAATGAGCACGTATCGTTGACTTGCTCATCTGCCGAATCAGCCGGAGGTGTAATCCGGCGGGGTCTAACGCGAACTCTGCTCATACAGTTGGTAGCTTCTCCCTGAATCGCACGTCTCCTGGCCTTCGCACTCGACCACGTCGCTGTCAGCTTTTCGAATCTCTGAGTACATTCACACATTGACATGCTGCGAGGCTCGCTCTCATCTTGCTGCCTCACGACCGCAAGAGGCGGGATCAGCTATTGCAAACAATAGGCAAGGCCCTGCAGCACGAGGTTGAGGTGTTGTATTAGTCATTTGTCCCGTGCAAGATCCCGCACGGCAAGGGCAAGTTTTCAAGTGAAGTTGATTGCGGAATAGGAGTAGGAGGAGTACGAGGTGTGAGCGGAGAAGAAGGAGTAGTGGTTGGTGGTAGTAGCAGTGTATAGTAGTGGTAGTAGTAGTAGTAGTCGTCGTCGTAGTAGTCGTAGTAGTAGTAGTATTCTTAGTAGTAGTAGTAGTAGTAGTAGTAGTCGTAGTCGTAGTCGTAGTCGTAGTAGTAGAAGTAGTAGTAGTAGTAGTAGTAGTAGTAGTAGTAGTAGTAGTAGTAGTAGTAGTAGTAGTAGTCTGCACAAGCAGGCCTTGATGGCTTTCTTACACACCTGCCGACGCCATCATGCCAACAAAGAAGCTGTGCCTTCGCAGTGAAGCCACAAAGTGTCATCTTGCTGGCATCATGCAATTGCCTTCCAGGTACCAAGCTTTAGTGCACACCAGGGGTTGAAAGATGCCCACTGCAGCAGAGTGGTCGACTGGCCAACTGCTCTTCATTCATTCGGCTAAGAAGCTCCGTACCTAGTAGCAACAGGATCTTCTATTTGACTTCTCAGACCAATAGGCTCACAGGGTTAGTTCATACCAGAGTGAGTGCACATGCGGCAATCGCCCGCAACGTGCTGAGCCCGCTCGCACAGCGTCCAGTAGTAGTAGTAGTAGTAGTAGTAGTAGTAGTAGTAGTAGTAGTGGTAGTAGTGGTAGTAGTGGTAGTAGTGGTAGTAGTGGTAGTAGTGGTAGTAGTGGTAGTAGTGGTAGTAGTGGTAGTAGTGGTAGTGGTGGTGGTGGTAGTGGTGGTAGTGGTGGTAGTGGTAGTGGTAGTGGTAGTGGTAGTGGTAGTGGTAGTGGTAGTGGTAGTGGTAGTGGTAGTGGTAGTCGCAGTAATAGCAGTAGTATAGTACAGTAGTAGTAGTAGTAGTAGTAGTAGCAGTAGCAGCAGTAGTAGTAGTAGTAGTAGTATCAGTAGTAGTAGTAGTAGTAGTAGTAGCCGTAGTAGTAGTGGTCGTGGTGGTAGTAGTAGTTGCAGAGGTAGAGGTAGTAGTGGTAGTGGTAGTGGTGGTAGTTGTAGTGTCAGTAGTAGTTGTTGGGTCAGGCCTGGGGTTTGTCATTTGTTCTGTCTGCAGCATCTGGTTGTGTATTGCCGCGATTGTGTCCAGATCCCACATTGCAGTAGTGGGATCGATGCTATCCGCGATGGTAACTCAGAGGTGGTCCGTGAAAATCGATGACAGCCACAAAAGACGGCGCTTCACCTGTCACCTGTAAGTTTGGATTGGCAAGAGGCAATAACAAGGTAAATTGCAACCACTGCTCGGAAGATCTCAGTTTTGCGACCTCCTTCAGGCAGTCGAAGTGGCCAAAGAAGCTGTTCGCTGCGCACAATGCTCAGCCATGGAGTCCGCATGCAGTGTTTTGCGGTACTATTCTGCAAGGCAAGCGAATCTGGGGATCGCCGGAGCCAAATTACGGCCTTGCAGGCTTCTCTCACATCTCTCGTTGGGCATCGTATGTCCGTTTCGGGCCACCAATTGCTGATCCACGAGCACAGCCCGATACCGACTTTGAGTCACAAGCCCCGTGCCTTGCATCCTTCGCCAGCTCCAACTGTCCGGCTCGCGTGAAGAGCGATGCTTGTGCTCCTTATGGGAGGCGTTTGGAAGAATCTCGCTCAAGCTTGGCCAGAGCCTTACCGCCGAGGAGCCGGGTCTTGCGCCGTGCGCCGTGCTGCCACTTCCTGCGTTGAGTTCTGGGCCTTGAAGCAACAATGACAGCAAACTCTCAATTGGTGTTCACAGTGCTTCGCGACAATTGGCTAGCATTCTTCGAAGCATCCGCAAGCAGCTTTTGCAAGTTTTCGGTCGTGTCCGTTGTCTTTCCATGTCTTTCCCACCTGCTGTAGACTTGAACATGCTTGCTGGAGCTTCGCGGCGAAAGACAAGAAACACCAAAACACATTTCAAGGCCGGGCAGCAAGGTTCCCAACACCGAGGTCACAGCTTCGATGCCCTGGAGGCTTCCAAGGAAGCAATAGTCGGGGCCTTGAACGCGACGGGCTGCATGCTGCGCTGCCTGTGCCGGCATTCCAAGGAGTATTGCCGCTTTGAGGGCCTAGCCAATCAAGAAGCAGCCCTTGCCTCACCATCTAAGAGAGAGTGCCCGTGGTGTGGCCTCGTGGGGTGGCACTGCGCTGCTGCTCCGCGCTGCTCTGCAGAGGCGTGTCTGGCAACTTTGGTCGCCGCCCGCCTGGCGAACGCCGGTGGCCCTGCAAAGCGCGGCTCCGCTCCGCGCCGCTCCGCGCCTTCTAACGAATGCGGCGAACGCCTTTCTCCTTCCGCTGCGAGGCCGAGCCGAGCGAAGCACTGAGAGCTGCCAAAGAGGCGCTCGCGCTCCCTTCCTTAGAGCAGAAAGTCGAGCAGAAGATATGGGGCACATCTGCGCGAGGCGCACGATCGTGCCAGGAGGCTTTTGAAGCTGTGATCCTGTTTTTGTTGGATCTTTGCGAGATGTTTTCTCCGTTTCTGAGCTGTCTTGGGTAGGCTTGGCAATCCTCGTGCAGAAGCTGCATCTCTTGCAGCTTGCCGTGGTTTACTGTCGGATCTCGAAGTTCTGCAGCTGTATGCGCGCACTGGTACTCCACATTACTCGACCCTGTGCTCCAGTATGTGCGATCTCTATCGGAGTGATAGTCAGAGTTGTTCAAGTGTTGTGAAATGTTGGGAAGAAACCCGAGGGGTGTTCCCAATGATTATAACGTCCGGGATTAAGCTATCTGGCAGCCGCTTGCGGTAAGACCTTCAGAGAAACAAACATGTGCAGGTCCACAGTCCAGTGGCCGGCATGTTGCTTTGCCTTCGTGGTGGTGTCGTGTCGAGAATCGGCCGATTAGGCTGCAGGCACCTTTCTGGTCCTAGCTGGAAACCGTTTGCCGATGTCCCACTTAGCATCTGCTAACTATAAGTTATGTTGTCCTGTCGAGATTGGATTGTCCGTCACGGGAAAACTTTGTTTTGGCATTCAACAGAGACTGAGTCGCTACATCCCTCTTGAGCAGCACTCGCTCGGATGTGGCATTTAGTCACAAAACACGTATGCCAAGTTCCATGCCAAGTCCCAGTCACCAGTGATGTGGTAGATTCCACATTTCGCACTTGTGCCACATTTGCAACATCACCATTTCCCTACCACCCACATCACCCGTGTCATCTACTTATCACCTCACCATCACCTTCTTCATACGCAGCAGAGAGTCCGGGTCTCTACTAGCGAGCGCCAGTCACTACCGGACTTCTGCCGGTATCGGCTGCTCATGGCAGCAATGGCACCAATGCCCCGGAGGCAGGGGAACGCGCCTTAGCGCGGTGGCAAAAAACTTTAAGCTGATGGCAGCTACTCATCTAAGGAGTGCAGGTCACGAACTTTCCGTGGACATACTTCGTTGGCTCCGCGATTGCTGTACAAGTATGCGTGGCGATGGATCAGGAGCTGTATGGTGTGAACCTCGAGCTGGATTTTGTCCAGATGACGTTGCATCACTTGCATTTGCACTTCCAGCTCTTTGATCTGCTACTCCATGATGCTCATGTGTGCCGTCACCCATACATCCCCATACTTGCGAAGTAGAAAGGTATTGTTGTCGTCCGGCAGTGCCAGCGACCGCTCCTATAATCTGGGGTTTCGAGGAGCAATATTTGCATCTGGGCTTGTAACGTGGGACCGGAGCGGCTATGTGTGAGCTTACGACGTGGCTGGCAGCAGCTATTGGCTGATAGGGCCTGGGTCCTAGGGACAAAGGGAAGTAGGGAGAGTCTTAAGGTGGGGCCTCAGGAAAGCTTCGGGAGAGGTCTGGGAGGAAGGGCAGCTACTGTGCAGTCGGTCTGTCCTGGCTGTGGCTTGCCCGGTGGGCGGGTCCCTGCATGGGCCGACAGATGCCAGGCAGATTCTGCTTTTGCCACAATGGGTCGCCAGCCCCTGTATCTCAGACCAAGCTGACAAGGATAGGCGGACCGGCAGCGCCCCCACCTGCCCGGTAACAGATCTGTTGCTGAGGCTTTCCTGTTGTTCTCGAAGTTGGCGGCAAAATTGGTTGATAAAGTATTCGCGTGTTTCTTCCAGTTTGTTCCCTTCCAAAAGGACGGATGTGTCAGACCACCATCCGTCATCAGCATGCTCTGTCTGCCTCCTCTTCGGCTGTTTCCGGGCTGTCGTCTTCGGAGTCATCTGAACCGACGAGGAGGAAGAGTCGTTCCCAGGTGTTTCAGCTTGCTCCGCATGTCCTCGGTGCGGCTGGCCGTCTCGTGGATTGGGTCCATGTACTGGACGAGGTGGTGGCGGGCCTGCCGGTAGCCAGGATGCCTTCTTGGGAGGGGCCCGTGCCTCTCCTCGGAGTGCGATCCATGTCGTCAGTAACAGAAGCAGAATCCATGCTGTTGGGCGAGGCTTCTCCATCTGTCATACGTTTCACCGAAAAGCCGAAGGCAACAGCACAAAAAGGCTCCAAACAAAAGAACGACCCCTTTCCGGGCTTCTCACAGCTGCGAGCCGTGGGGCTTCTTCACCATCACAGTCATCATCGTCATCATCACCATCATCACCATCACCGCCATCTTCACCATCATCATCACCATCATCACCATCATCACCATCATCAGCATCATGCCCATCATGAGCATCGGGATCAGCATCAGCAGCTTCGTCGTCAAGACAGTGATCATCATTCTCATTATGTCCACCTTTGTCCTCTTGATCGTTGGAGTTATCAACAACTGCTCATGCACATTACCACGCCATCCTCATCAGCATGTTCTTCATCCACCTTGTCTCCCTTCATGTGGGAGCTGTTTCATCTTCATGATTCCTTTTCGTGCTGTATCGCTGTGTTTCACACATAGGTTCATCCTCACCCCAACACCACTTAGTGGAGTAGAGGTAGGCTTGAACATTAGGCGTGGCAAATGCTAAGCGCACTTGTTGAGAAGAGCAATAGACGTCAAAACCCCACATGCCAATTCGTGGCGAAAGAGTACGGAAACCAGGAAAACTCTCCACCAACACTCTTCCGAAAGCGAAGAAAGGTTCACCCAGCATCGTAACAGAAGTGAGGATCAGCCAGGAGGCGGGCAATGGCCATGGCCACTTCACGAAAAAGGCTGCAACACTGTAGTGTGCAGCAAAGAAAATTCGCACCGACACGGCGTATTTCGAAATCTTTGGGCGGGGCAGTGGCAGACCCTTCAGCACAGGTTTTCTGGGGCCTTCCTTTCGGCCTTGACGGCTGCGACCCGTGACTCCCAAGGAGTAGGCAGTGAAGACCCCCCAAGATGACCCAAACCCCAGGCTTGGCAGCTTCCTGCCGGAAGCTCGAAAGAATCCATGACGGCTAGGCCTAGGTGGGCAAGTTAGGTTCCTGCAGCCCAAAGCAACGCCATTTCCTGTGTGGGGGGGGGGGGCCGGGCAGAGCGAGATCTGACATCCTGCTGGGTGATTCTCACGACTGGAAGCTTCTGCGCAGTGCACGGCCATGATCGTGTTCGCTAGTTCTAGTACTTTCTTGTGAAAACTCTCCAGCGAGATTCGGACATGCGATTGGCTCAGGAAGCAGTTGCCAGTGCAGGATGCTTGGCAAAGCGAAGTGGAGTGTTTGGCAAAGTAGCGCCACCGGTGGCGCCGAGTCCTTGGCCGCAAGGTTTGCTTGCACATCAAAGCACCAGCAGAGGCCATTCAGGTTGGGGCTGTGCTCTGGCACATCGAACTGCACGCCAAGAGTCAGAGGAGGATCGTTTCGAAAGGCCCTCGACGGTGCCCAGCTTCACTACAAGAAGCTCAAGGCGGGAAGACTAGTGACTAGTCTTATTGTGCCGACTATGCTTGTGAGCTTCAATATCTGTGACGGTGACTGTCCAGCGCCACCTCGGCAGGACAAAAAAAGGGAGGGAGCAGTGGTCGGCTTGGTCGTCTCCCCAAGCTATAATGATGCTCCCGACCTGTGAGAAATCCCCAATGCGTTTTGGCTTCACGACACGGTTCTGAAGGGACAAGGACATGCATGCAGCCCCTTGTTCAGCGAATGCTGCTTTTGCAAGCTTTGGGTTGTCGCGGGTTTAGGGTTTAGTTGTTTCCAAGGGTTTAGGATGACTTCGGGTTTAAGGTTTAGGGGTTTCAGGGTTTATCGGGGCCGGGTTCTGTCAGGGTCTCAGGTTTCACGGTTCAGCGTGTACGGCTTTGCAGCTCAGGGTTTTGGGCTTACCGGTACTTGTAGCGCACAGGTCTAGGTTCTTGTGTGTCCAAAGGTCCAGATTGCCAACTGTAAGAAGCTAGATCTTGCTATGATTTTTGTACGTTCTGTAGTGGCAGCAATACTCCTGGCGCCCCAATCAGTGCGACAGTGCGCAAGTCAGCTCGGGAAGAACTCCGAGCGGCTCCCCTTTCCTGGAGCTTGCGACGATCGAGCTCAGGCTGTGAAGGCGCAGCTGCTTGCGGGAGATGCAGCTGCAGCACTTCGTGCGGCGAAGGAGGCAAGGCATGGTTCGAAGCCAAGGCCTCACGGCCTCACATGACATCGGCATGATGTGATGATGCAAAATCGCCAAAGCTGGTGGAAGCTGAGAGGCACGAGCTTTGGCCAGGGAGCTACGCGATCGCAAAGCTGAGGCTGAGGTGCAAGGGTTGGGGTAGTCGGGTGGTCGGGACATGTCGTGACTCGGACATCGTGCTTGATCGCGGCGGTACTTTGGTACCTCAGGCGCTCGATGCAGCTTCTCAGGCGAGGTCACGAGTTGCAACTCTTCCCACTCCTCGCTGTTAGGTGCATTCTGCCTCACCGGTTCCTTCGTTCTACCACTGTGAGGTTCACTTGGCGAAGCGCGACTACAACGAAGCTCTGGATTGCGCCAAGAGCCGAGCCCTTGGCTTTGTCCTTGACCGTGGATGTGCAGCTGATTTGGACAAGTCCTTTTGTCGAAATTCCTCGCGCAGGCATGGCCAGCTTGTACGATGAGCTCCAGGAAGACAAGCTTGCAGCGAAGGCACGCGGTGGAAGGTAAGACCACGTATCGATCAGAAGTGCGTTTCTGTGCAGGCCAAGCAGTTGCTCACGTCCGTGTACTTGGCGAAAGGAGATGCAAGAGTGCTCTGACGGAAAGGATGGAAGGTGCTCTGGTAACATCTCCTCGACGAACCAAGGCTGCCATTGACATCGGTGGTATCCTGAGAGTCATCCAAGCAGAGTGCTGTAGCCAATGTGGGATGTACTTGCACTGTCCCACAAATCAGCTTCAACAGTTCGGCACGATGCAGCCGTGGCATCCGAACAGGAGATACAGGAGTGGGCTATTTTAAGTCTTTGAATTGAGCAACCACTTGGTTGTCCTTCCGGACAGCGGCACGGCAGCACATCCGCGAGCTCCAATAATGGCTCCTTCCTCATAGTGCCACTGGGGCTTTGTGATCAAGCGGGGGGCTGCTGGATCAGGGCCTATGGCACCAGCCGCGAACATCCCGCGTTGATATCCGGGCCCACCCCTTCGTGTGTTGGGCCTGGGCCTCTGGCTGCAGGTGAAGATGCCGTCGCCACCTTTCAGAAGCTGGAGGAGCCTGCATCTGAGGTGCCAACAGAAGTCCGCAAGAAATGCTCTAAGTCTGTGATCATGTTGGACACTTCAGTCATTATAGTCGACTAATTCGACTGTCGGTGCAGGCGGTCGCGCAGCATCTGTGTGCGCAAGCATATTTGCAGCGCCGAAGCCTTGTCTTTGTGGACATTTGCATGTGAGCGTGAAGCATCGGGTTGTGCAAGCTTCGCTTTTCTGCTATTTCCCTTTGATGTCCTCTCCTGCGCCCTTCGTGATTCTCAAGGTCACCACGATGACGAGAGAAGTGTGAACCTTAAGTGAGCAAGCTTTCGTCATCGATGACTGACATGCTTTAACTTGCTCTTAAGGTCGCCAGCAGAACGGATTGGGCCGTACGAGCTACCTGTCGCAGGAGCCTCTGACGCATCAATCCGTGAAGCACACCGATAGGTTTTGAGATTTCGTAGTCGTTCAGCTTCATCGCAAGAGAAGACATCGCGCAGAATTCTTGAGAGGATCCAGCAGAAGCAGTGCGGACGGCACCCCAGCAAAGCTTCGTTTCCGGTGTGCGTTTCATAGCGCGTCTCTCTGGGACTGCTCTGTGACTGCCATTTCCTTTGTAATCTCGAATCACCTTTCACGGCAATTGCAAACTCGCTACCGTCGGGCAGACAAGGGTCTGGTCTGGGGGTTCAGACCTTAGACCTTGAGGTGTGCAGTGCTGGAACGTTGCTTGTATGCCAAGGTCTGCGCAGCGTGCAAGAGCGCTTTTCAAGCAGCTTGGGAATCTCACCGGAGAGCTGGAAGTACAATGCTGAGCTACCATTGCTACATATGTCAGTTGACTTCAGTGGGCGACACCAGTGCCGTTGAGCCCGCTTGCATGCTCCTTCCAAATACTCTAATATACCTTATGTGCTACAAACAGCATGTTTAAAGGCTCCGCCGAGATGTCAAGTTTGGACATGATGAGTGGTTTGCCGTGTTCCTGTGCTAGTCGAACGGCTTGTTGCACGGCGCAGGCTGCATCAAGAGTCTGTCTCTGGGGGATTCCCCCTGTTTGGTTTACCTGGATTTTGTAAAAGCCTTAGACAGAATGATGGGCCTCAAGTCGGCACAGCAGGAATGTCACAAGGCTGAGGAGCCGCGAGTCCGGCAGAGGTATGCAGCCCTCGAAGCACAGCATTTAACAGGTCCCAAAGTCTGATTGCAAAAGTAGCTGAACTGCTTCGCAGGCTACCCAGTCAGCCCCAGGGCTCTTGTCGTGTTGGCACATGAAAGCAGTGCTTGGCAAAAGCTAGCCTTGTGGAGCTTGCGGGTTGCCGTTTACCAATCACTCAGGTACAGCAGTAGGAAGCCAGGTCAAAATCGTGTGCAGGATCTTATGTGGTCTTTTCCCAGTAGCTAAAGGGGGGAGTGCGGGCCCCCCTCCCACACCACCACGCAAATGATTACCACGGGGTGGCAGCGGAATTGAACAAAGTCTCCCCCTTTGGGTCCATCTGACTTGAGTTTTGTCTTAAGTGGCCGAGTGCGGCTGCGTAGCGGGGTTTCGAGCCTGATGCCTCAGTAATTGGCGAAGCTGCGACCAGCACAGTTCCGACAAAATGTTCGAAGCTGCTCGTAAATGGCCGAGTCAGGGACATTCCGACGTGCAATGAGGTCGGTCAAGGTACTACGTCTCGTTGCCCTAGAATTCGTGGCCTCTTCTCAAGTGAGGAAAGACAGCCGTGGCCAGACCTCTAGGAACGAGATTGACGGGATATACTTGCATCTATATAAAGGCTCTCAGATCAGAGATTGCCTTAGCTACTCGGCAGGAGGCCGGGGCCGCACATAAGCACCGGGAGGTCCATGCAACATATGTCTGCATGTGTAAACTGTGTCTACATGCCGGGAAACCAGAGTGCTTGCAACACGCCGGCGCCCCCAGGCATCTAGCAGTTCTTTCTCTTAAGTCTGTTAAGGTCATGGACACTCTGGCCAGGGCACACATTCGCAAAGGAGAAGCCAAAGAAGGCTGGGCGTTGCATGGCGTTGCATCCTTGCATAGTTTGGTGTGCCTATGCTGGTGTGGCTCGTTTCACGGGTGCAGGGCTTCGCGTGGCGGAGGACTTCCTGGCCGCAGCCAAGAAGGCCCATGACCCGCAATTTCATTGGCAACCCGTGGGGGGTTCTTCCTGTGTCGAGAGCCTTCGCACCTGGAGCATCGCAAGCATTGATTTGCTCCGCAAACATCTGCAGTCGTTCCGGCATCACACTGTCCCAGAATGCGGGCTGGCTGAAGCACAGACCCGACAAATTTACCGCAACCTGGAGCGACGACTCGGGGAATGCTTGGCATCAGCTTTTGATTGCGCATGCACCTAAATGTAGGAACTACAGCTGAAGGGTGGTGTGCCGTTCTGATGCATTGGCACGGGTACGTGCATGTCTGCGAAAGTCTTAACTTTCCAGTGAAACCTTCAAAGCTACACGTATCTCCAGACCCAGAGACTTGATGAAGTCCGTCGACTTGGGACGCCAGCTAGACATGCCCTTCCTGATGTCCGAACTTGGAGCAAGTTTCGTGTGCCAGCGATAGCGACTGCCATGGCTGGTCATTGTCACAATATGCCCGCCCTGAGTTCAACGAATGACAACGGCCCAGGGCCCTGCATTGGCCGTCGTGTTCCGTATCGTTGTTAACACGCTTGAAAGATCTCGGAAGTGTCAGCACCTGGCAACGTTCGAGCGACTCCTGTCCAGCTAGTGCAAGGTGTCAGAGCACCCGCAGTGATGTTGCTCGGAATGTTGCCCCAGCGCAGCACCATCGGCACGTTTTCTTTTTGCGTCAGTGGCTCCCGGAACCAGAGTTCTTCCGGAAGTGGCCCCATGGGTGCACCTTTACCAAGTCTCCCAGGCAGAAAGGGATGCACACGACCGGTTTATTCTCACTTTCCACGTCGACTGACCCTCCACCATCCTCCACCTCGTCCCATGGTGTCCTTAAGCGAAGTGCTGCCTCATGTCGACTTCTGAGCGCTACCCTACGTTAGCGATTTTATGCGGAGATCGATACCCTGTGGAAGGCCAGAGACAAACCGGGGGAGGCTGGCCGACGCTGATGCTTCGCAGATTTCTGGTTGTGGATCTAAAGACTGCTGACTGCTGCATTCCGTGGCAGCTCCTCCTGCCCTGGACAAAGGCCAATGCTCTGCTGGTCTCTTCAAGTGCTCTTGCAAGCGACGGTCGCCTGAGTGAAGCGCTTCGTCCGGGCCTCTCGTGAACAGGAGATGTAGTGAGAGTCAGACGTGAGACATCATGAATGAGAAGACATGTGACGACATGGGACGATGGAGAAGAGGTGCGCGTTTCGTGAGGCTCAGCAGAGGCGGCTCGATCTCTGTATCGAGACCTGGGCAACTTAGCTGCACTGGGCCCGAGGATAAGCTAGGCATGGCGGCATGAAAGCCTACGTCTGCGGTGGAGGGAACGAGATTGACAGGTGACAGGTCATACACGACTAACATGAAAGGTCTGGCTTCAGCAAACCCTGCCATGCATGACAACACAATACAACACACGCACACACACACGCACACACTGCCTACATCCTGTAGTATGGGTTTAATGATTTGTTGAAACTCCTGCTACACTCCTTGTCGGCCCCTTAGCAGTGCAAGCTAGGCCATGCAGAGGGGCTCCAAGACTCCGAGCGTTTCCTCGGGGTTGTGCGAGATGCCTTGAAGGAGAGGCAGTTCGTGCAGAGATGACTGCAGTATGCCTCAGACGAAAGACGCACGTGTCTCGGTTTATAGCTGAAGCTGCCACCAGCATTGGCAGGAGATCGGTCATCGTGCCGGCAGCCATGGCAACGGCTACGGGGGCAACAGCAATGTCGGTGCTCCACAACGAGGCGTGAGGAGCCGCTGGAGACGTCACCGCTATCCCTCAACAGCAGGACCTTCCAAGTTTGGATTCCGCGCGGCCGAGGAGTTGCCGTGAACTCGAATCGAGGGCAATCCCGTCTCGAGCTTTGGGAGAGAGTCACGTCCAAGGCCAAAGGATGAGAAGTCTGGAAGTCTCATCACCGGAGAGCGCCGCATGCTAAGCTACGATGAACAGGCTGAACTCCTGGACGAAGGGATTTTGGAGATTCTGCCAACTTCCGAGGCCGTGGGGTTGCCCAAGTCGTCAATCCTACGCCGCTTTACAACCGTAAGGCGCCAGGGTTCAGAAAGCTTGTATCATTTCTCTCCGAGCATTTGACAGCTCCATGCTGGGAGGCATTCCCATGGACTCCGCAGCAAGCAGACAAGGTTCTGAATGTTCTTGCGGGATGGTCCGCGGATGGTTCTTATGCCCGGCTGCGGAGGTGTCCACACCAGCGACAGCCAAACCAATGACTGGGATCTAGCCGCGACCAGATGAGACTTGTCCAACTGGGTGCTGATGATTTTGAGTGGTAGGCCCTTAGGAATGTAGGACAGTGTAGGACTCGTAGGATTAGGCGCTGTGGCGCTGTAGTTCGGAGCTGAGTTTGCGCAAAGCTCGGCCACTGCAAGTCAGTGGTGGTCGACTGCTTGCAGCCGGCGCCGAGAAGCACATAGCAAAGAGCGGACGATCGCATGACGCATTATTCGCATGGCTGTCGGATCGGCGATTCTGACACCGATGGTGCGCAAAGGGAACCCGAAGGATCGTGTATGCTCAAGGCTGGGTGAACAACCCTTCCCTGCCGCCTTCATGAGATTCCGAGACGGAACACTGCCATGATCAGACCGACTTGAAGGACGTCCGTTCTTGTTAGGATGGGTTCACACTGCCGCAAGCGCTGGCTGCTTTGCATAAGCTTCAAACTGCTAGTGACTGCTAGTGAGTCTGACAGGAAATGTGGTCTGTGTTTTGGACGTCCTTGCTCCTATCTCGTTGGGCCCACAGAACGATCTGTCAATGATGTGTGGGCATGAGGAGCTGAGTGGCACCGTTGCTAAGGTTCGGCAGCACAGTTGCATGCCGGTTTGATCCAACATGGTATGTCTGGAGAATGCCCCAGCTTGCACTTGCTGGGGTCTCATCTTGCCTCATTTAGGGCTTCTTGGGGCGATGCAGATTCCAAGGTTGCAGGCGACTATGTCGGCCAGAAGAGCTCAGGCTGAGGAGGCATCAGGAACTCTCGGAGTGTGCTTTGACGACCGGGGATGGCAAAGAAGGTCCCTTGGTCCCAGCTCCAACAGGACACGGAGACCCGCAGGATCCGACAAAGCCGAAAAAGGGAAAGCCACGGCTTGTGCTTCTTGTCTCGTTCAGAGGAGTGATTTGCAGCTCCGGCTGGAGAATTCCCAGCTGAAAGGCGCGTCAGTCCCTTAGTGGATGCGAGGATTTCTTACACACGAAGGTAGGACTCGCCGCCTGTCGCTGCATGTTGCCGGATCGACAGCTTCAGCCAAGAAGTGAAAGTGCTGCGTGCAAGTGAGGCTAGAAAGAGCGATTCTTCAGCTATCGGTGACACTTCGAGGGAGGTGCCCTGGTCGTGTCTGCCGCCGGGCATTCAGGCAAACGATGTATGCAGAAGCGCATATTGCATCAGAGGCTTCTGACACTTACACATGTATCACAGATGTTGTATGAACCCGGCCTCTTGAGCTTCTGGACCTTGAACGTAGTTGAACATGACACAAGCTCATTGAACATTCTTGACAAATCGCTTTGGAAACCGAAATGGCAGGCGCAGCTTCAGTTTGCACGGCGTCGACTTTGGGAGCGCCTGGCGAGCGTTATGAGAGCCTTCGCAGCAGCCTGCAGCCTTGCAACCCGCCTTTGCCTCCTTTGCATTCCTTGCCTACCTTGCCTGCTGCCAGTGAGCCATTGCCTCTGACGCTCCTAGCAACGAGCCTCAGCAAATTATTGAAAGCCGTTGAGACTTCCTCGAGTCGCTGTCCATTTAGGTCGCCGCAATTCTGCTGTGCATTTACGGCTTCATTTATCTGGTGCACCTCGTCGTTCCCTGCTGATCGAAGCATTGTTGCGTGTGCCGGTGCTTGACACTGGACCGGGCTTTTCTTCAAGGCTTTCTTCGGCCGCAGGAATCGCATCAAGGCCAGCAACCGTCGCAGGCGACACGTCGAAGGCAGGGCCGCAGGGCTGCAAAAGATGGCATGATCGGACAATACCAAGCTGCGAAATTACACCACGACGACTTGTGTGCAGCCCCGGAGCGTCTTCCTGATCTCTCCGAGTGCAAGGAGGAGATGACTGCGAGGTGCCGCTGTCAGTTCCAGCCGTCACTAACATTGTGCCATGCAGTGGTGCACTGGCCAAGGTTTTGCTGCAACACGACACATAAGACAGCCTAAAGCTTACCTGAAGACTTCAGTATCTCCAGTATTCGTGTCCGAACACAGAATACACTAAGGTTGTGCGACTGTTCCTGATCGTTATCGTGGCAACTGCAGGCACGCAGTGATTTTGTTAGTAGAAGCAAGGTGTGCGTCGAAAAGTGGGGCATTGATCACGAGAGAAATGAACATGGTTAGTCGTCTAAGAAAATGAGGATAGGTAAAGCAGGGAAACGAAAACCTTGGGCACCCGACGGTTTCATACGTTGAAATCCCCACAGCCATACGACCATAGCCCACAGCATTAAGAAGTAGGCAAAGCAACCCTCTGCATCGACAGCAATTCTACGGGGGAGTGCAGAACCTCGCCGGGAGGGAGGGAAAAGAAGACACCTGGCGCCTGAGGTCTCGGGCCCATAGGCTAAAGGTAGATACAATGCAGATCAGTTCGTGCCGATTTCCGCAAACAAACATCGGAGACACTGCGCAAGCAACTGCGGAGGAGCCAGTCGACAACTACTCAATGCTACTCAGCTGTTGCCCAAACCCATGCAATGCTGTGAAGCATTTGATCGCGTTCAATTTCCCCCCTCATTGATACTATCACCCAGGTTTTCCGGTCCTCGTCTGTCCAAATGCCACAAAATACAGAAGCAGTGGCATGCGGGCAGTCGGACAGACTGCAGTAACCACTGTCTAGTATTTTCTTCGAATCTGGCATCACGGCAGACCACAGCCCTAGCCAACATTTGCCTTCTTTGTGTGCGGAGGCGGATCCTTCTTGTTGCGTGAGGGCTACTTCGACTCGGTGAAAGAGAAGCCGTCGTCCGAGCTTACATAGCGCTCTGCGCACGAGTATGAACAGCAAAATGTTGTGAACGTGACATGCATGGAAGTGTCAAATATATCTTATCACAGGCTGGTTCCTTTGTTGTACTTGGCCATCGTCGTCATCATGATCCTGCAAGCCGTTGCCCCAATTTCGGCAGCTCACCCCCGCAGATCAGTTGCTGGAGTAGGATGGTTTGCTTTGGGGTTCGGCGCAGGCTGGATCACACATGTAACCTTCGTCGTTGTTCAATGCTGACTGGAATCATGAGGCTTCTGCATATCTACAGTAGCCCGATGAGGCATTGGCAGGTGCAGGTGTCGTGATGGGGCAGTTGCGTTCTGCTTGCTTTCTTCTGAAGCGTGCAGCGGGCCATGCTCGACATCCCCGTAAAGAGAACCCGGTCTGTGCCGTGTTTTGGGCGTTCTTCCTGCAACTGGTGTTGGTGCGGGCGCCCTTGGACTTAGTCGACTCCCGCCACATTGTGCGCCTGGCCGGCCCACCCGACCCAAGTGGCCTCGGCCTGGATTTGCCCCCATCGGCCCTTCCCAGGAGGAGAGTTGGACTGCTCGGGCCTGCTTGCCCCCATCTTGCCAAGTCGGCGATGTCTCTCAGTGACGGATCATCGTTGTTTATGAGCCGTAGCGGTTGTGGATTTCAGCTGCCCTCGCTCTCAAGCTTTTTCGGCTGATCCCCCGCTGGCCGCGACAAGATTGTGGTGACTTAAGTCTTTGTGTGATGTAGCATTCCAAGAAGATTTGCATGAACGTACGATGTGGTGCGCTCGCTCTAGAATCACGAAACATCCTGAGTCCGCCCGCTTTGGACTTGTCACCCATCTGCAAATGAGCTTTGTAAGATAGTGCAATGCATTCCTGGGGATCCGCGTCCAGGTCATCATCGCGGAGGCACGACCAGTAAGTTGGCTAAAGGTCAGCAGATGCAACCGCACGTTCAGCGAGGGTTCCTCGGCCGCAGGCCTGGACTCGCATTGGAAGTCTGCTGGAGGCAGTGACATCCACAGCATGGATGACAGCGAATGGTTTTATATTGCTCCAAGCCTCACACGCGAGTTTCATGCTGCCTTGCCTGTGTCTGCTCGCCGCACAGCCCCTTTGGCGCTTCCACGAAAGGATGCAGGCGGAAGGGCTTTGGGACTTTGGGCTTTGCAAGATATCAAAGGTGGGGCATGGATCTAGCAGGGTAAGCAAGGTTGGAGGGGTTGTACTGGTGATTGTTTGTTGTTCGTGTTTCGGTCAGTGTATTAAAGATTCTAACGCTCTGGAGAATTGATGAGTGCAAAGCTAGTCTGCGGTTCTGTTACTGGTCTTGCGAGGGCCGGTCGATGTCCTGCGGATCCCGCTGTCGTGCGATACACATTTTCGACTAGAGTCGCGTTCTTTCCACAGTTCATTGCCGGCAATGACATCTAACACATTTTGGCTCCTGAGAGCTTGATGAGTCGCACTCAGCCACAGGGCAGTGGATGTTTTGGGGTGCCACAGACCGGCGCAGTTTTGGGGTTGCCAGTACACGACCTGTGCGAGTCCACCTGCTGACATCGTGCTCGTGCAAGGGGGACTCGTGTTTCCGCCTCCCAAAAACGTGCTCCCACCACAGTATCGCTCACATTTTCGGGTGCGACCCGTCTTCCCGGTGCATGTCAATGCGGGGCCGCAGTCGTGCTTTCGTTTGCCACAGTGCTATGCGCATTTTGGATTCACGGGAGATGTTTTGGGAGCCTTGGGGGTGCTCCTGGAATCTTGGGGCGACTTTACACCAATTGGGGCGACTTAAACCTAGTGAGAGTAGGTGGGCTTGGGGTTCGAGCGGAGCCTTTTGAAGATCTACGCTCGGTATGCGGGACTGGGAGTGCACGGGAGGCCCTGGGCCTCCTATAGAACATCATGACTAATTACACGCATCTCACAGTCCGTTTTCACCTGTCCCCGCAGGTGTGCACTGGCAGAAGGCTGCAAATGCCAACTGGAGCACGCGGGTCTAAGCGCATGCATCTGCGGGTCCGTTCTTCACCTGTCTGGTGGAGGTGTGCAATTGCATAAGGCTGCAAAAACGAACCGCAGCGCGCAGGTATAAGTGCATGCATCCCAGGGTCCGTTCTTCACATGTCCCCGGAGGTGTGCACTTGCAGAAGGCTGCAAATGCCAACAGCAGCACGCAGGCTTTCACATGAATTGTTCACTGTTGGGGGACGGCGGGAGGTGTGCCCTTGCGGGAACGACAAATGCAAGGACTTTGCAGCCCACTCGTTGCGTGTGCAGATGGGGAAGGATCAAAAACGCAAATTGCAACGACTTAGGCGCGTAGGAGTACTTGTGTGGGTTTGGGTCCATCTATACCGGTCAACTGTTTTGTCTGGCTCGAGAGAAAGTCAGAAAGTCGTTAGTGCAAAGTTAAATGGAAGCTTGAGCAGCCGACTCAGCCAGTTGCAGCCTGTGAAGTGCAGGCTCAAACAGACAAGTAGCAAGAGTGCACAAAACACATGTTGTACGAAGTCCTTCTTAGCAAGTTAAAGTATTCCAGGATCTGGTCGGGTTTTGCAAGTTTGTTCTTTACCGGGATGCTGCCAGAACCAGCCAAAGGCATGAGGACACTGTTACTATCAGCGTGTTTTGAGGTTTCTCCCGTTGATTGGCACTGTATCCGTGCTTCAAAGCCATGGGCCATCGTCATTCGCGTGCGGAGTCGTCTCAGGTATCAAGGTGGGAAGCCTGAGCAGGTTGGCTACTTCCCGGCAACTGCTGCAAACGCAGTTTTGAGGTCTCGACCTGGAGCGTCCTTCGACAATACTTCAAGGTCAGACTCCACCAACAAGGCCTTGCTTGGAACAGTGCGCTCAGCGACGTGCAATGCTGTGCTATGTTGAAATCATGCCGTGCAGTTTGAGACATGTCGAGACTGCACCTGCAGGATCCAAAGTGCTCCATAAAGACATTCATTGCACCGAAAGCTCATGCACTCCAGATGTCGCCGTGCAAAAGTTGATGGGCCTGCCCTGCCGACCGCCCGGCCAGAGTCTCCGACTGCGGCCATGCGCAAGCGAGTATAACATCCGAACAAATCCACACCCTGCTACACTTTATCTGAAGGTTAAGATTGGTTTGTCAGCCTTGTTTTGCGAAGAAGTGACGCACGACAGGGCAATGTTTATTTAAACGGCGAAGCCGTCTCGGGTGCGGCTTTCCGACTGCATCGCTTCTCATGTTCGAGGCCGACATTGAGACGTCTTGCGGGCTATGTTTTTGCAGGGGCTGTCGTAATCCCGCCGGGACATGCACAAGGAGCGACGTGAGGGGGTCAGGTGTGGGCCCATATTTTTTTGCATTGAAGCTCTCGTGTTGGGAGAACTGGCAAAGGTTTTAATGCTCCAGTCCAAATCCAGCTCCTCTGCGAACCACTCAATGTCAAAAGGTACGAGGAGGACCCCCGCGGCTGCCATGTACACGGTACACGATCGCACGACCTAAACAAACGATCGCGCGGTGAGCTCAAGTCCCAGTTCTTCCAAGTTCTTGCCTCCCTGTCCCTGGCTAGTCTCGCTGGGTTCCGAGCGCGTGTCGCCGAGAGGCTGAACCATCTACACCCTCGGTGAAGGTCCCGTGGCAAAAGCGAGTTGCAGTCTTTGCGGGCTTTCTAGATGTCGTCTGCTGGAGGTGAAGTTCCCCTTCCGATGCGAGGATCGCAGCAAAATCCCGGATGAGCTTCTGGAAGGCCGGACTCAAGGTTACGCCCCCTATATAACCAAGGTGATGACGAAGGCCACACATAGGGTTGTCATGTTCAGGGCAAGAAGGATTCGCCTACTGTCAGACAACCCTCCGACTGCATTGTCAAATTGTGACATTACAGTTGCTCTAACATCGATACAGCCTGGTGCTGACATGTGCTGGGCCGATCTAGCCACGAGGAAGATCCACTCTTTGTCGGTCTTGTGCGTTTAGCGTAAAGTGGACCTGGGGCCCTCTGGTCACATTGCCGCAGGCAAGTTTTGGGATGCAAATCTTGCCCTCGCCGCAGTGCCTTTTGGATTGGGAGTGGTCTTCAACCAGGTCCTTGAGTGGAACGCATCGGATGCATGTCATGCGGTTGTGTTGGAGTGGTTGGATCTACAAAGCATAGATGTGGAATTTAGAGGAGCTTCCCGAAAACTCGGAAAACACGTGCAGCACAAACGGTACGCTCAACGCCGAGGGATGCTAAAGCGGGCGGGAACGGGGCATCCTGTTGCGCAAGAGCATGAGATCCTCGCATGATCTTCAGTGCTGCGTGAGAGCAGCAAAACTTGTTCTCGATCCAGAGTTTTCTTTGATGGGCTGTGTAACTTCGTTTCACACAGACCCTTGGTCGTAGCTCCGGCTACTTGTGCAAAAAGCCATGATGCGGCGCTTGAGTGGCACTACCCGTGTCGAATTGTCTGCTGCACCATTGAACTCGCTTGAGTGCGCAGGTCCGTTTGATGATTTCCAGATTGCGGAGGATGTCTATGCCACGTTCTATTTGTTGGCAAGAAATGCTACACCTGAAATGTGGCCTGCCAGCAAAAATGGTAGTCCCGGTGAATTGGGCATTTCACGCCGTGTTTCGCAGTGGGAGGTACAGTATATCTCCGTTTCGAAATCCAGACGTCTCGTGGCAGACAAATTATTGCAGACTCATAGTTATGATGTTCGGACAATCCGCGATGCACTGTGTCGAGCTTTTTTTTGTCCCCTGTCCAGGGTTTCCGTCTTGTTCTGCAAATCCGTGCAGATGTAAAAGAGTGTTGGATCCGGCTTCAGGTTCGCATTGCCTGGCTGTACTTGCTGTTTATCGCCGGCTCGCAGATCTTTGTCATTGCGGCCATCACCGTTGCTTGAGTGATCTTGATTTGTCAAAGCTGAAAAGGCTTCTCCGAAGCGATGCTTGCAGCAAGGCAGCTCGCCGGTCTGGACTTGCATCACTTGTAGTTTGGTCCATCGAACCGTGCAGCAGTGGCCAATCTCGCGTCTTGTGCTACCTGCAGCCGAAGTGCCACTTGCATTCAAAGAGCTGACATGACTCGACAGTCTTGCGCGAGGTTCTGTACCCCCCGACAGTAGCCGGGATGCAATGATTGGAAGGATACGGATGACGAGGGCAGATCCTTGGCGTTTGCGTGCATCTCAGGTCCAGCAGGAAACTGCGTTCGTCGACTGTCAGAACGTGACTGCAGTGGCTGCATTACGAGTGAGAGGTGGGTGCCACATAATGGGGTCCTCTCAGCCTGAGCTGAAAGCATTCTCTGCTTTGTTCGGTCAAACCTGAGTTCTTTCCTTGCGCTGCAAGGCTTCCTCGAAGCATCCACAGCAGAGGCATGTGAGGCTCGCTGACACGGAAAGCGGGTCTCAAGGTATCTAAAGTCGAGCGCTTCTAATGGCTTCAAGCAGCTAGATGCTGTCGTGCTTGCATTGCGTTCACGTGTGTTTTGACTGAGCATGTCGCGGTGCGTAGGCAATAGCAGAGCCGGCGCAGGGCGCCTGGCGTTGACAAGCGAAGTGCGTGGAGCGACAGCTTCAAAATTCAATGCTCGGAAGGTTTGAAGCCGATGTCCGCGGTCGGACGGTGATGATATCACAGATCAGCCATGCCACAGAGTTTTATCACCTAGTGGAAGACTGAGTCCGACGTGCGAAACGAGAGCAGTCGGAGCATCTTCGAGAAACCCTCAGTGAAAGAGTGAGGTCTTTGCCTCCGGCAACTACGTCATTCTCATCTTGCGCTTGGTATGTTGTACATGGGTCTTCTCTCAAGCTTCTTGTCAAGTCTCATGACATTGGCTTTTTGCCATTGGCATGCTTCCGCCCGCTCGAGGTCTACTTGCAGGAGTTCAGCAGCGTGCCTCGGGATGGAGTTTGTGGGTTCGGCATGGCGCAGATATCTGCGGGTTGCGCGCAGTTCTGAGGTGAGGGCGCTGCTCAGATACCACGACTTTAGCCGCTGGTTTCTGCCGCTGAAGGGCGAGGCCTTCCGCCTAAACCCTAAACACTCTTTATCATATGTATTTAAACCCTATCTCGATGGTGGCAATTTGTTTTTTTTCGGGTCTGGGTTCCTCATGCCGCGAAGGAAATCGCCAAATTGCCACTAAATGACCTCGCAATCTGGTAATTTGCGGGGTCGGATAGTCTTTGGTTTTTGTTCATTCTGTTAATGTTGTGTA